TTTTTTTTTTTTTTTTTTTTTTTTTGAGAGAGAGAGCATGAGCAGGGAGGGGCAGAGAGAAAGGGAGACAGAGGATCTGAAATAGGCTCTGTGCTGACATGAGCCGGATGTGGGGCTGGAACTCAAGAACTGTGAGATCATGGCCTGAGCTGACGTCAGACACTCAATCGACCGAGCCACCCAGGCGCCTCTATGTACTGTATTCTTATAATAAAGTAAGCTAGAGAAAAGAAAATCATAAGGGAGGGCACCTAGTTGGCTCAGTAGGTAGAGCATGTGACTCCTGATCTTGGCGTCATGAGTTTAAGCCCCATGTGGGGCATAGAACTTACTTAATTTTTTTTTAAAAAAAGGAAAATTATAAGGAAAATACATTTACAGAGTACTATAAAAAAATCTGCATATAAGTGGATCTGCATACAAACCTACGTTGTTCAAAGGTCAACTATAATAGAATTTAAGAAGCAAGATATTAAAATTACATTCAAGATCAAACTTTAAAAACATAAGACCCGATTGTACAATTATAGCTTATTGTTGAATTTAATGATTTTTTAAAGTTTATTTATTTTTGAGAGAGAGAGTAGAACAGGGGAGAAGCAGATAGAGAAGGAGAGAAAGAATCCCAAGCAGGCTCCACACTGTCAGCACAGAGCCCAACATGGGGCTCAAACCCACAAACTGTGAGATCATGACCTGAGCAGAAACCAAGATGGACTGGCCCACCCAACCATCTCATCATGTTTTGTTTGGGTTTTTGGTTGTTGTTTTTTTTTTAACTTATTATGAGAGAGAGAGAGTAAACAGAAGAGGCAGAGAGAGGGAGAGAGAGAATCCCGAGCAGGCTCTGCACTGTCAGCACAGACCCCAATGCGGGGCTCAAACTCATGGACCATGAGAACATGACCTTAGCTGAAACCAAGAGTCTGACGCTTAACCAATTGAGCCACCCCGGCGTCCCCTGTCATGTTTATTTTAAAAACAAATTGGAGCTGATAAATATGTTCTTATAACCCTTCTATCAATTGTGATACACCAGAAAGCAAGTGTATTTACTCGGGTCTGTCCATCTGACTGATGCTAGGTCTTTGCAGGGTGCAGAACATCCACTGGGTTAAGAAATTGTCTCTGTGCTTCTTGAGGGGATTTTCTCTCATCTCTGTCCAGGAAAGTTATGTCCGGGGTCACCACGTATAGCTGCACAGGTTGCATACTGAACAACTTGAGAGGTACCATTCGTATCATAGTGTTTATGACTGGCAGCCCCTTCAGTTGGGTGTCACTTGAGTAAAAGTACCTGCTGTCAGTCTTAGCCTTTTCTATGAGCCAAATAAACTCCGTCTCCCTTGGAGGTCTTGGGCTCTGCCACAAGCAAAACCCAGACAAGACCTGTTCAGGGCCGAGGCCTGAGGTCTCCCATTCAGAGGTCAAAGTGATCGCTTAGAAGTATCTTTCTTCCCCTCTGTCATTTCCTGCTATTTTCTCCCCTAAGTTGGAGATATCTCTAGAGGGCCTGGTTTGGGAATAAATCATCCCTTTAGAGTAGTAAGAAAGGACTCGGTTCTGACATTCCCCATGGTCTCTGCTCAGAGATGACAGGGGAACCCGTGGCCAGTGCAGCAGAAATGGTAACGAGACGCTGAGATCCAAGACTTCAGTGTCCCTCTCCCTCCCCAGGAGCCAGAGGCCCAACTTCCAGCCTCAGTGTTCGACTCTTCCATCTCTTCCATTCTGTCTCCCCGGCTTACCAGAGTGGGCAGGCCACGTCACGTGTTCCCTTCCCTGTACTGCGGTGTGGCACGTGACATCTGTGTCCTATAGGATTCCAGGAGGGTCATGTTGGGGGGGGGGACACTAAGCATCAGGCTCAGGGAAGATTCGTGAAAGACCGGTTCCTTCTCTTTCCTCTCTGCCTTCGTGCAGTCTGCCCATTGCCCAAAGCCCTTCCCATCCCCCGGCCCAGCTCAACTCCTCTCGCGGTTCCAGAAGACGAGCAATGGCCCAACTGCCCTTCACAGAAAGTAGTGAGCACCCAGGCTGCGGTGGCTCTTCCCGCCAGAGAGAGAGGAGACGGGGTGGGACAGGCCCTAGCGGCTCACAGGAAAGCCCCACCTGGGATGCTCACCCCTCTTCCTCCAGCTGAAGCCCCCACCCCAAACTGCTCTGCTGGCACCCATAGGCTCTCTGGTCTTCAGCACTGGGGCCCGCCCTTCCCTTCTCATCGGTGAACCCCGGGCCCTGCACAAAACAGCTTCCGACCCCAGCAACTGGTTCCCTGAGTTTCCATCTCTTGCCCTTCTCAGGTTGTGTGTGAAAGCCAGGAGGAAAAGGACACGGCTGACCCCCACCCCGTCCCCGGGGCCTTAGGCCACCTGGGGGCCAATGATGTGAAATAAGCCACCAGGCCTGACCTCCTGCCCTCCCTCCACCCCACAGTTGGCCGAGGCCCCAGGGTTGATGTCCACAGGCCACTCCTGTCCCCTGCTCTGTAGAACTGCTTTAGCGCCTACATTTGCTTAAGCCCCCCCTTGCCCAGGTGCCTCCCGTGTCCCATAATGATGCTTAATGGACAAAAGAGAACGGGGACTCCCCCGGAGCAGGAGAGCAGCCCCCAGCTTCCGCCCAGCCCACCGGCCTGACCTATTGCTGCTACTGCTGCTGCTGGGAATCCTGGTGCATGCTGGGAATCCAAGTGCATGCTGGGACTCTGGTCAGTTCCTCCATGCATTCTGGTTTCGCTTGGAACAGTTCCGGCCTCGGAACTGTTGTTTTCTAGTCCGTGGTGTGCACTCCCTGAGATGAAGTTAAGACCTCCGTGGGGATGGAGAGACACCTGAGGACTGGGCCCTGTGGGAGCAGGCCACCCGCTGCACAAACCCGGCTCCGGTCCTGAAGACGCCCGCGATGCACCAGAGCGAAAAGGATCCACAGGAAAGTGCTCTTGCCTTCTTGTGAGGGGATTGACTTTAAGGCCGAGGCTGCTGTGATGAGAGGCAAGAACTGATCCTGGAACACAGGACGCTGCGCACGTGGATGCCACCCATAGCCGTGCCGGGGCCCAAAGGCTGTGTGAACACAGCTGCACACACACACAACTTTGCCATAGATCGTGAGGCCCCAAGGGCCAGTGGCATCCATTCATGCCAGCATCTTATTGATTCCTGGGAAGAAGAGCTTCATAATGCCTTTTATCAAGGTCTCAGGGGAAGTAACCCAGACAAAACCAGCAGGAGCCTTTATAGTGTGAATACGAAGAGAGTAAAAGGTCCCCAGGTCTCTGGCTTCTCAGAAAGACTTGGAAAAACCGGATTAGAAGATGCAGTGGATGAAAATTTGAGGGAAAGACCAATGATTTAACAACTCAAGTCCCACGAAGCAGTTGGATCAGAAAGAACATCTCAGGCCCGAAGAACAGAAGGGATGAAGAAGCTTCCTGGGGAAGAATAAACCTGCCTGGCCCTCAGGGTGATGGGTGGTCACTTACTAAGTGGCTCGCCAACTTTATTATTTATTGGTTTGTTTGTTTAAATTTGAGAGAAAGAGAGATTGCAGGGGAGAGGGACAGAGGAAGAGAGAGAATCTCAAGCAGGTTCCGCGTTCATCACAGAGCCCCGTGCAGGACTGGATCCCACGACCCCAGGCTCATGGCACAAGCTGAAATCAAGAGCCAGAGGCTCAACCCACTGAGCCACCCACGGGCCCCGGTGGTTCATCAGCTTCAAACAGTGGTTTCCCACTGGCCAGAATGGAGCCCCTCTGGAAACTGTGACTCACTGGAGATGTCCATGTTCTAAGGCCCTAAGCTGGAGGGAGCATGGGACAGTATTGGACTGGTTTCTCTTCCTCCCCTCAAGAGAATGATTCTGGCTTCACCTTTATAAGCTGCTCTAGAATCTGACTTACTGAAGACAACGATGGTGCCTGCAACTCCCCAAAACTGAATGAGTCTCATGAGAAGATCCCATGGTGCCTTCTCTCATGGCCTGCACGCTGTAGACCACTTCTGGCTTTCTGTTCTACTACCCCACACAAGCCCTGGCCCCTTGCCTTGGTTCTACAGGGGAAGAGAGGAGAAGAGTTCTAACCAGACGTCAAGAACCTGACTTCCAGTGTCCTTGCACACCACCGTGTTCAGAGCCAGACCCCAAGGCATCTTGAAATATCCACAAAAGAAGGCATCTTGCAGGAGCCACACGATGGATATTTGCCTCCAGAAGCACCAGACCCCTTCACCACTGGGAAACCCGGCTTGGGTGCTCCCAGCCTGCCTGTCGAGAATCACACACGTCCAAGAAAATCCTTGTTGGATCTCTGGCCCAGCGCTCCAATATGGCGGCGGCAGCAGCAGCAGCAGCAGCAGCAGCAACAGTTCATAGGAAATCCAGCCACCCCACCCAGGGCTCTGGAGAGCAGCAGGGCTGGCCACGCATAACGAGCCCGCAATGCTTTCAAAGCTGGAGTTGCTGGCAGGAGTCCTAATGGTGGCCCTTGGTTTCTTGCAGACATTGATGAGTGCCTCTCAAGCCCTTGTCTGAATGGAGCCACCTGCGTGGACGCCATCGACTCTTTCACATGCTTATGCCTTCCCAGCTACCGAGGGGACCTGTGTGAGATTGGTACGGCCGTCTCGGCTTCAGCTAATGTTACTAACTGCCGCACCCCCTCCTTCTCCTTCACCCTTCCCTTCTAACCACAGGCTCTGGGCCCTGGCTGGGGCCCCCAAGGTCCATCCAGACAGCCATGTCAGGGGCCACGACCGAGAAGTCTGCCTCACTCACTCCCACTCTTCCTGCTGTCGAAACCCTCCTCCGGGGCCCTGGCTGATCTGAACGCAGGAGACACGTGCAGGCCCGGCCGGCCTGCACTTTGGAAGGTGGGGCTCTGGGGGACCTTGAAAACACTAACCTTCTTCAGGGCTTCCAGACCTGCCGAGACCACATCGAGGTCGGTGCATGCGTCAGACTAAGAGAACAGAGCGGATCACGGGCCTTTGGTTTGAAGGAAGCCACGGGTGGGCGTAATTGATTGGCCCTTACTCCGGGCGACACCACAGATCTCCCTGCATGGTCATGAGCATGCGCCTGCCTGCCGTATTGCCTATGGGACCTCTGGGACCCCTCTGTGGCCCCTCCGTGCCACGCTGGCCACGCTGCCTCTCTCTTCTCTGGCAAGAGCTCCGTTTGTCTCAGAGCTCCCGTGTCACCAGCATGCTCCAGCCATGCATGAGCAGGGACTGCTGCATGTCAGCGTGTCACCATTACCGTGACGGCTGCCATGTCAATGCCACTGCGGCCCACACTTCCTTTCCCCCTCCCTCGTGTAAGGCGAAAGGCTGGCCAGAGAGGACAGAGCCTCACTGCAAGGGACGGGGCTGGGCTTCCCCTCCTGGGCCTTGCCCACCCCTTTGCCCCTGCAGCCGGGCCAGGGACCTCTGCCCAGGGCGCTGTGTGCCAGGACCTTCCCAGGGCCAGCTGGCACGCCTTGTGCTCTCACCTCTGCCGCTTCTAGTCTCCCCCCACCCCCGCCATCCTCCTGGACCTCAGGGCCGCCCCCAACTCAGAAAGGGGGACGTGGGGCTTGTCGTTACTAGTAGTTATACAGAACTAGAAGCGTGCTGGGATTCAAAACCATTTTCTGTGACCTCTCAAGCTGGATGTCCTAGAAACTTCCAGAAAGCAGATGAAACTCCTGGGAAAGCTCCCTTTGGTCCCAAGCAGGGTGGGGAGGAGTTTGGAACTGCATGTCCCTGGGAGGCACTGCCGAGGTTGCAGGCTGGTGGAGGAACTTAAGGCTTCTGGAACAAAAGGCCCGGCCCCTCTTCTCTCCCTGCAGCCCCCCACTCTCCACCTCTGCCCGGATATACCAGGACGTTTGTGCATGGGGTCCCGGCTGGGGGTGGAGCAGGGACAGTGGAGAGTTAGAAGGTTTCTCTGCCCAGGATGCCAAAATATTTGCACAGGGGAGAAGCGTCTGGCGCGTCCTCACAGACAGCGGCTCTTATGCGCCAGACTAGGGAGGGAGGGGCTCTGCCAAGCAGGAGGCAGGGTCTCCGCAGGGCCCTGCGCCCCCGTGGGGCACAGAGATGGTGCCGGAGCCACCCCGCTGGGCGCTGGGCCGGGCCACCCAGCCAAGTGAAGCCAGGCTCCATCTCTTCGCCCACTTCAGTCCCGCGGGTGCTTCATGGCTCGGCTCCTGGCCCTGCCGCTCGCTCCTCCCAGGCTTCCCGGGAGTTTGTCCGTCTTGCCCCGGAGCCACCACCCTGCACGCCCTGTGCCCTCCCAGAGCAGTTACGGCCTCCAAGTTCGTCTGCTCGGCTCGGCCCTCAGCACTTCCAGCCCTGGGATGAGGTCTCTGGTCTCCCCGATGGAAGCTGAGCTGCCTCTTTGCAGACACCGTCTTTCCAGACCTTTGCCTCGTGCCATGGAGAAGCATGGGGACCAGCGGCCGCCTCCCCAGCCCTCCTGCTGCTTGACCTCCTCTCCTCCGGCCGCTGGCCTCTGCCCGCCCTCTCTTGCTGCCTCCCCTACGCGTCTCCCTTTCAGTCATGCCAAGCACCCACCCCTTCAGCCTCAGCCTCCTTGCCCTGAGGTCCTGGTCCCCCCTTCCCGGGTCAGCCAGACTGTCAGTAGCACGCCATACAGCCTGAGGGGGTCATGGCCTTGCACTTGGCCCCCAGGCCCCAAGCAGCAGCCCTTCCCCCACCCCAGGAGAAGGAGGAAGAGGGGGTCTTGGAATTCCGTCTGTCCGCTGGGGTGCTGGCTACTGTTTAGCATCCGGTTCCTGAAGAGGAAGTAGGAACCGGGACGTATGATGCCTGCTCGTCTCCCACCAGCGCCAATTCACAGCTGCCAGTGAGATGTCACCGGAGGCAGAGACGGGACGACGCACCCTAAGGGCTCTCCGGAGCCTTCTAGAATCTGCCCCTGCCTCTGCCACTGTCGGTCCCCCCAGGCTGCTCGAAGAGCTCCAAACCAGCCCCTCCTCCTCAACTCAGAACCCATTACCCACACAGCTTTGTGAGGAGAGAAGCCCCCCTCCCTCTTCTCATCCGCTATCAAGAAATTAAATAAAAAGCCGGGGCCCCTGGGTCACGGACCCCGGGTCGGCCACCTCCTCCTCCAAGAAAGATGCAGATATGGGCGCTGCCAGAGCGAGCTCAGATCAACAGACTTAGAGCTTTGAGTCATCTGTAAACCCAAAGCAGACCTCTTCTTGTTCCTCTGGCCCCACACAAGGTGCCATTTCACGCCCCCAGTGCTGCCTGCGGCTCCCTGCCTCCCTCACGCGCTCCCTATAGCTCCCTGCCTCCCACCACCCCTCCCCGGGGCCCTCGGGCCCATGTTGGGCCTTAGCCTCAACACCTCCCACCTCGCCACCTCTTTTTTTCCAGCCGTGCCGAGCAGACATCGGTCAGAGAAAAACTGGGGGGCAGGGGAGGGGTGACATCACGGAAAGAAAGGATGGGGATGTGGCCAGAGGCTCCCGGGCTCCAGGGCCAGGCCTTCCCGGCTTCCGACTTCAACCTCATCCGTATGGGCTTCTCCCTTCAAGGACGGACATTGAAGGCCGGGTGAATGTAGGAATCTGGCATAAGACGGGCGGCCGCGGACACCCCCGGGCGGCCCCGGGGCCTCTGTCTTCAGGCCCCCGACCTGTATTGCAGACCAAGAGCTGTGTGAGGAGGGCTGGACCAAGTTCCAGGGCCACTGTTACCGCTACTTCCCCGACCGCGAGAGCTGGGTGGACGCGGAGAGCCGGTGCCGGGCACAGCAGTCGCACCTGAGCAGCATTGTCACCCCTGAGGAGCAAGAGTTTGTCAACAGTGAGTGTGGCGGGGCCTCACCCACCAGAGGCTGCAGGGGTGCGGGGGGCGGCGGGGTGGCGGAGCAGGGAGGGAAGGAAGGGTGTTTCCGCAGCCAGGGCTGCGCCCGGAAGCCCACTGCAGGCCACAGTCAGTGCCGGACTAGCGCCGTGGCTGTCACCGGGCCACACCAGCCTGGGTGGTGGCTGGAGTGCACTCCAGCCGTGCGTGTGCTGAGAGCCTTGTCAGGGCCTTAGAAGCGGGCAGCGTGCTCCTAGGAGCCCACCCGTCTCCTGCCGCCGCTCAGTCCCCTCTGCGTCTGTGAGCTCCGGTTTCGCAGGTGCCCCCAGGCCGCCCGGTGCCATGCCCAACACCCTGCCTCTCTGTCTAGACAATGCCCAGGACTACCAGTGGATCGGCCTGAACGACAGGACCATCGAAGGGGACTTCCGCTGGTCAGATGGACACTCCCTGGTGAGCCCCGGGGAGAGCTGGCGGCCCAGAGCCGGGGAGCAGAGACCCCCGGAGAGGGACATGTTCAGACGCATGTGCTCAGGGAGCGGCCGCTGGGCTGGTGAGCCCTGGGGGCAGGGACTGTGACTCACTCATCTCTGCGTCCAGAGACCAGCCCCCGGCCGGGCAGGTTGAGCGAACACTGGCCTGGGAAGGGGGGGATGAGGAGGGCAATGGCGGAATGAAGGCACACCACGAGAAGGGCCACATGGAAATGGAGGCGGCTTCCTCGCCCCCAAAGGACTCAGTCTGCCCAAGGAGAGGCAGGCAGACAGAAAGCAGTATAGATGCCAAGTTGACAGTACATGTAGGTCAGCTGAGGACATCAGGGAAGGCTCCCTGGAAGAGGTGAACGGCCGCAGAGCCACGTCTCTGCCGCCCAATCCTACCCAAGCAAGGCAGCAGTGAGACCAACCCCTGCTGGAGGGGGAGCGGCATGGGCTCAAGGTGAGGGACTGAGTAGAAGGCGGGGTCAAGCTCCTGCCTCATCCTCACCCCTGCCCCCCTCCACCCCACCTCTGCAGCAATTTGAGAATTGGCGCCCCAACCAGCCAGACAACTTCTTCGTCAGTGGAGAGGACTGCGTGGTGATGATCTGGCACGAGAAAGGAGAGTGGAATGACGTCCCCTGCAATTACTACCTGCCCTTCACATGTAAAAAGGGCACAGGTGAGCAGCCGCCCAGGAGGGGTCCAGCCTGGATGGAGTCAAGACATTAGCCTCCTGTCGAGGGACCTGGGGCGAGTCCCCTTGTCTCCCAGCTGCTGATGGCCACTCACCACCGGTCTGGGGAGGTCTAGTGTCCCAGGTCCACTCTTAGGTATCATTGACAGGGACAGGTGAGGGTCACAGGCTAGAGGACAGACACACACACACACACACACACACACTCACGCAGTCCCCTGGGCACCAGCGCAGAAAGTCACCCGTGATGGCACGTGGGTGGGGAGCCCCGTTCTCCTTGGCCGTCAGGCCCCGGTCCTCAGCTCGGAGTCTGTGCACACAGGGGTGCTGGCAGAACACACCTTCCTCTCCAGCTCTCTTCCCTGTTCCGGCTCTTTTCTTTTCTTTCTTTTTTTATGTTTATTTCTGAGAGAGAGAGAGGGAGACAGAGGATCTGAAGCCGGCTCCGTGCTGACAGCAGAGAGCCTGATGCCGGGCTCCAGCTCACGAACCGTGAGGTCACAACCTGAGCCAAAGTCAGACATGTAACTGACTGAGCCACCCAGGTGCCCCCCATACCGGCCGTTTTCGTAAAGAAGTCATGGGCGGTCTGCCTGGCTCTCCCCACTGTCCCCACCTTTCTGTCCCTGTTGTATTTTCCTCGTCCCCTCAAGGTCCTCCTTTTATTCCCGCCCTGCTGGCCTAAATCACCGAGGACCCCAGACGTTATAACCAATAGTTTCCAGATTCTCAGCACGGCGTGAAAATGCCCCTTTGCCAGCCACCAGGGCCAGTGGCCGGGTGGCCAGGCGGCCGGGTCGGTGCCCCTTCCTTGGGCTCTGGGCGGTGACGCAGCCATGCGTCTGGGCTCTGGGCTCTGACGCAGCCACGCGGGCTCGTCACCGGCATGAGCCATCACGGGAGACCCTCCGAGAGCTCTTTCTGAAGGGTGTTTGCCCCTCAGTGGCCTGTGGAGACCCCCCGGTGGTGGAGCACGCCAGGACCTTCGGGCAGAAGAAGGACCGGTATGAGATCAATTCCCTGGTTCGGTACCAGTGCACGGAGGGCTTTGTCCAGCGCCACCTGCCCACCATCCGGTGCCAGCCGAGCGGGCACTGGGAGGAGCCTCGGATCACCTGCACAGACCGTGAGCACCACCCCGTCCACCCTCACCGGACACAGCGTTAGATCCCGCCACCCTGTCCCCCTTCCTGTTCCGGCAGCAGAGCAGCGGCCGGCCCCTTCCTGGGGGTCCTGAACACCAGCTGTCCGCACCATCCCTGGGCTCAATCCCACTCTCTCCCCCTGCCCGCAGGGAGGGCTCACTTTCCCCGAGAAGATGAAGGAAAGAGCAGGTGGCCTGCTTTCCTTTCTGACGGCACCTCAGAGCCCCTTAGCCCAAGCTCGTGCCAAGAAAACTCAAAACCAGAGAGCAGAGAGATCAGGTTGAGCCCATGCTTTCCGCAGGGAGGGGAGGCAGCAGAGAAGGGGCGAGCGGGGAGGGGTGAGGCCGGCCCCGCTCAAGACTCCCCCTTTCACTGCAGCCTCCACATACAAGCGCAGGCTACAGAAGCGGAGCTCGTGGAGGTCCTGGGGCCCCCGGAGGAGCCGCCCCAGCACAGCCCACTGAAAACACCCAGGAGGCGCCCAGGATGCTGAGCCCAGGAGCCTCGCCAGGCTGACATCCCTCACGGATGGTCTCCTCTTCCTGTCGCTTTCTGTCATTTAAGGAATTCCATTAAAGAAGGAAAAAAAACAAAAGCAAATCCCACATTGTGTATGCACCTCCCCCACCCCCCCCAAATCGCCAAAACTGCATCTGATTTTCCCCCCCAATGCCAAAGCCAAGCAAGCGCATTGTAACCCATGGACTGAGTTCAGAGACGTTTCTTCAATCTCCCGTTGTGCCTTTGCAGGGACCAGCGCAGGGACAAGGGGAGAAGGGGAGGGGTTAAGTTAAATAAAGAAGATTATTTTTTGTTTCCTGACTGTATCCAAGAGCAATGCAATCATTGGTTCTTTTACCCCCCAGGGAGAGCTAGGGAGGAGGGAGGGAGGGGCATGAGGAACCGCAGCCCGAACCGAACCGCAGCTGAATGTACTGGATGAGGATGCGGAGGGCCGCTCCATCTGCATCCAGGAGGGAGAAGCCTGGGGGAGAGGGGACGGGTTCCTCGGAGGGTGAGGGGGCAGGAGAGAGCCATCGAGGGATCTTCCACCGCGTGAGGGTCAGGGTCCCTCCCAGGGTCCCTCTTCCAGCATCCTCTCACCCGGGTTGGCCACCCAAGCAGGTGTTGATCTCAGCAGGGCTGGGTTGGGGGGCACTTCCTTCCCAGGGGGAATGCCACCCCCAACCCCTCTACCCCCCTCCCCCACCCCCGGGACCGTGCAGGCACCAGAGTTCCGTGCACCTATTTATATTTTTGAAAACGAGATTATGATAATTATAATAAAGACATTGGAAGAGATCTATTTCTTTTCTTTTCCCTTCTTTTTTTAAAGAGAAGGCGACCTTGGTCTGAGGACTATTGAAGGGGCTCCAATCGGGACACGTTTTGATCAAATGATCCCGAACTGGGTGAATCTTGTCTGTTCAGAAAGCCTGAAAGAGTCACACCTGTTGTGCTTTATTTTTGTGAGGGTGCCTGTGTGTTGGATGGACTGCGTGTGTGTGTGTGCGCGTGCGCGCGTGCGCGCATGTGTGTGTGAACGCCAGTGGGTGCTGTGTGTGGATTTGCAAGCTGGCACATGGTCAAAGGACAACTCAAATGAGACATCTGGTCACTTTGCATAGTTCGGTTGATAGCACACTGCTCACATAGGAGTTGGTTGGTAGAAGAAGTCAAGAGCAGAGGCAAAATGATTTATAAGAGGGAATAAAAGACAGTGGAAGACAGCCTGGAAACAGGCTTACACGTATTTGTGGCTGGTGAGTTAGCGGGCCACTAGCCAAAGGGTCTGGGCATCCTGCTCTTACGCAGGCTGTAGGAGGTCACCGGAAACAGTTTCAATCGCTTATGGACCCCCAGCAGACCTGGAGTTGAGCCAGAGCAGCCATGCCAGGCCCCATCCCTCCACCAGCCTGCTCCTCAAGCCAGGTAGGTGCGCCCTGCCCGTCACACTTGCTCAGCGGGCCCTCACACGCGTGTTCGCGAGTGTGTCTGGGTGCTGGTGAGTGCGCGCTGGTGTGAGTTTGCTGGTATCTTTTTGGGGGTGTATGTGTGCGGTCAAGGGTTTATTGGTGAATATATACAAGGGTCCAGATCACCTACAAGTCTGGAAATGAGTGGACAAAAGTAAGAGGGTACAGTGATGGTCACATCGAAGGGGCTCAATAATTGTGTAATTGATCAACTGATTAGCTCGGAGTACAACTAGGTCTGTGGTTTTCACACGTGCGCCTGCATCAGAATCAAGAGGGTTTGTGACTCAGGAGGTCTGGGGTGGGGCCGAGAAATTTGCATTTCTAGTAACTTCCCAGGGATGCTGCCTGGCCACGCTTGGAGAACCAAGGGCCTACGTGGAGAATGGACTCCATAACCTACTGAGGGTGCCCGAGGTGTGCCTGAGCAGAGGCAGCGGGAGGGCTCCCTGAGGCTGGGGAAGGGAGAGCAGAGGGTGAGACACAGAGGGGCTGGTCTCGGACATCCTCTGGGGGGCGCACAGCCTCTGCTGTCTCCTGAGAGGCACCTCCTTCTCTTCTGGGCCCAGACACACAGCCTGGGAATGGAGACGGTGGCAAAGTCGGCCAGGGCCAGCACCGGGCACAGGGCGTGCCACAGGGGAGGTGAGCCAAAACCCACTGGCCTTAAGGTGCAGCTCACGGAGATTCCTGGGCCAGAACTGCCTCCTGTCCAAAGCTGAGCCTCTGAGACGGAAGGAGGCAGAGAACCAGACACAGGTGGGGGGGGGGGGGTGTATCAGCACCATTTATTGCCCCAAGAAAGTACACACACCTGAGGGCCACTCCCCAAATGGAAAACTGAGAACAAAACACAGACTCTTTGGAACGGAGAAGGTAATAGTGGGGAGGGAAATCGCTCCCTTTCCTGGGACCTCACACAGAAGTCTAGGGACCCACTTCCGGCCCCAGCTCCTCAAGGGAGCTGACCTGGGCCAGCAGCTTTGCAGAGAAGGCCCCACACCCAGCTCCAGGGTCCCCAGGCTTGGGGGAGGGGAGCCGCAGCCACGCGTGTCACTGCCCGCTCTGGCACCTGCCCCCCTAGGGCAGGGACGGGAGCTGCGTTCAGTGATGGCAGAGAGCCCTGGGGAGCCCATGACCCTCCAGGGTCCTGGAGGAGAGGGGGAGAGGGGAGAGCCTTGAGGTGTCCACCTGAGCAAAGGGAAGACTTGGAATCTTGGATTTAGAAAACAAACCAAAAAACACAGCAATTAAAAAATATTAATTTGAGAAGTATAAAAACCATACAAGATTTGCCCCAACCTGCAAGGAACAAGGCACCGCTCAATAAATAGCGCCCGCGCAGGGAGGGTGCCGGGCGGCACGGCCGGGGCCTAGCGCGGCCGGTAGCAGTAGACGCCGTAGGCGCGGCTCTGCGGGTCCGGGAAGCCGAAGCTTCGCACGCCGGGCGCCAGGGGCCCGCAGTTGGGACGCGGGTGAACCACAGGGTAGCGGGCGCTGCCGTCTGCCAGCCAGCCGGCGTCACAGCGGTCCAGGCCACGGAACTTCCAGGCGGCAAAGAGCTGGCCCACCTTGGCAATCCGGGCGCCATCTTCCTGGCAGGCCTCCACTGCCTCCACCAGTGTCAGCTTCTCGGGGTGCTCCAGGTAGTACACGTGCCCTGTGGGAGAGTGGGGTGTGAGGGGGGGCGGTGGAGGGGGCGACCAGAGGGGACAGCGGGGGCTGCAGGGGTGCCACCCACCATCCAGACCTCACCCAACAGGCCTGGCAATTATAAGCCGGCGGAGGGGGTGGGGGGGGGGCGCACCAGGCCGTGGGATCTGTCTGGGGATGCCTTCCCTGTTCTGACCCCTTCTCTGGGAGTCCCACCCCACCTGCCGCGGGGCTGGGGTCCCTCCAGTGGTGTCTGTGCTCCACCCCACCCTTAATCGCACCCTGGGTGGGCACCCCACCTGGGCTGGACCAGAGTCTCTCACCCACTCATTTACTGAGCATCTACTATGTGCCAGAACGCTCTTCCGAGTGACAATGAATCAATGCCTGTTTCTGTGTATGTTCCCATGAAATGATCCTCTTTGTGGGGACAGACCATGTTTTATTTGTCTACGATGCCCAGAGCCTCATCCCGGCCCCAGCACACAGGAGGCTCTCAAACCATGTCTGAAGGAGTAAACCAGTGATTGGTGTGAGACAGCACCAGAGCGCTCAAACCCCAGCCAATCAATGGCTCCAAGCCCACAGGGGTTCCAGACCTCCAGGTGAGCAGAGAGGTCCCAAAGCCCCCCAGATGATGCCCTTTCACCCCTAACCTGGGCCCGGCCACATCACTCACCCTTGAGGGCCGGGGAGAAACAGAAGACGTCATAGCGGTGCAGGCTGCGGTGACGCGGGCCGTAGGTGCGCAGGCCGGGCGCCAGGCCCAGGCCACCGCAGCGCCTCCGGACCAGCGTGACGGGGTAGTGCACTGAGGCGTCCTGCAGCCAGCCTGCGTTACACCAGTCCAGGCCCTCCTCCCAGGCCCGGAAGAGCTGCTCGAAGGAGGCCACCACGGCGTCCTGCTCCTCACACGCCCGCTGCGCCTCGTGGAAGTTGAGCTGGTAGCGCCCGCGGGGGTGCTGGTAGGGAAAGACCACGCCTGGGGAGCGGGGGAAGAGGGGCTGGAATGGGTGGGCAGAGGCCCAGCACTCAGAAAACATGCATTCGCTTGTTAAGGTCGTGAGTGAGTCAGCCGGTCAATGTCCCCAGATAGAGAGTGGGAATACCACCTAAGTCACAGCGATGTGGCGAGAACCCCACAGCCGTGGTGTCAATGTGCACCCCCCGCCCATCAGACGCTGCGATCCTGAGGCCTGATGTGATGGGATCTGGAGGTGGCGGCCTCGTGAATGAGATGAGTGCCCCTCTGTAAGAGGACCCCCCCCAGAGGTCTCTTGCCCCTTCCACCATGTGAGGACACGGCAGCGAGCAGTCTGTGACCTGGCAGAGGGCTCTCACGTGCCCGTGCCGCGCCCCACCCCCCAGCCCCACCATCTTGGATGAGGAATGTGGCCCCTCCAGCCTCCACGTGGACTAGGGAGGTGGGGCTGATGGTAAAAGCCCTTGACTTGCATTTTATCTTCACCTCCTCAGAAGGAAGTACAGGGCGCTACCCCCCATCCCTCACGTCACCACGCGGGAGGGGACGGGAGCTCCGAGGGGCTGAGGCGTCTACGCAGGATGGGGAAGGGGGTGCGTGTGAGCCAGGACAGGGCTCTGCGTCCATCCCAGCTGTCAGCTGTCGCCCTAACAGGGAGGAGAGGACTGAGGACGCACAGCCCAGTCCGAGAGACAGGGAAGGGACTGCCCGCACTGGAGCCCGCACACAGGGTCTGGCTGTTTGGGACAGCACTGGGTTGTGACTGCTGGTTTGTTTTTGTTTGTTTTTCATTAGAAGAGTTTTACATAAAAATCCAGAGAATTTCACATAAAAATACGTGAATGTCAAATCAGAAACCCTGGGTGCACGAGGTCTGCCTCCGGACCTGAGCGGGCACTCCTCTGGGACGGGATGAGGGTTCAGCTGCGTGCCCGGTCCCCACCCCTCCTGTCACTCGCACTGGGCTGGCGTCTCAGCTCTGTCTCAAATTAGCTGGGGGGCCAGCTCCTGCTTTCCTCCCTCTGTGTGAGCCCAGAGGGAGCAGTGGGTTCTAGAGCCCCAGTGCCAGGGGTCAGTGTCCTACACTGCCATTCATGAGCTGTGTGACCTTAGGGAAGTTACTTGACGCCTCTGTGCCTCTGCTTCCTCATCGTGATGCTGCCAGCACGGGTTGCCTTAGGACCGCGTGCCTCTCTAGCGCACAGAGTTCTAGACGGTGTCTCAGGGCCTTACCCCGCAGCTCCAGCTCCACCAGGCCGCTCTCGTCCTCCAGCCCATCGATGACCTCACAGCGGTAACGCCCGGAGTCCTCCAGCCGCACGTCCCGGATCTGCAGCGACGCTTCATGCTCCCCGTCCTGCCGCAGGCGCACTCGGCCTCGGTAGTCTCCGAAGGAGCGGTGCCTCGGCCCGATGGCCACCAGCACGTCCCGCTCCGGGGCCCCGTTCTCCGACAGCTTCCACCACTTGATGCGCACGGGCCTTGGGGACAGCAGGGCCGGCTCGTAGCGGTAGCGGCACGGCAGAGTCACGTTGGCCCCTCGCTGGGAGAACAGGGTCTCCTCGGGCGTCTCCACCACCAGCGTCACCCCATTGAAGGTGCCTGCGGGAGAGGCAGGGTGCAGATAGGCCCCTGTGTGGCACACGGGCACCCCTGCTACGGCCACCCCAGGCCGGGAGCCGCAGGCTTCGAGAAGAGCCATAATGCTGGACCTGTGCCTGTATCCACACGCTCTGCAACAGGACTCCGAGTCTCCTGTCAAAGGGGACTCTGTGTCCCCTCCCCCTTGAATCCGTGCTGGCCTTGCCACTTGCTTCGAACAATCAATGTGGCAGAGGTGACTGTTCCCTTTTGCCTGCTCTGAGCCTGGACTCCAGGAGGCCCTGCGGCTTTGGCTGTTTCTCAGAACCCCGCCAGCCTCCACGAGAACGAGCCTGGGCTCAGGTGCCGGAGAAAGGGAGCCCCATGTGGAAAGGGGACAAGCTCTCCCAGCCGAGGCCACCCTCGGCCAAGCCGCCCCTGGCTGACCTGCCCACCGACTGCAGGCCCAGTCGTGCTCATTCAGGAACGAGGAAATGGGGGCCCCCCAAAATGCTGACCCGTGGAGTGATGAGCAAAAAACAAAACAAAACAAAAAAAAACAAAAAACAAAAAAACTCAAAAACACAGCAGTAGTCTTAAACCATTAAGTTTGGGCATAAGAAGCTAACTGACGTAGCAGGTCGTAAGAGCACCCCCATATCCGGTGGCTGGTTGGGACTCTGAGCGCCCTGAGCATCCTTCCCTACCACGCTGGCCACGGGAGAACACAGCTTGCCCTTTGCTGTCTGTCCATCCATCCTCTTGGACCCGGATCTTGGGTCCATCCCTGATCTTGGACCCGGACTTAGACCCCTGGAGGTACACGGGGTGGGGAGTCTCAGGGTAAGCTCCTGGCAGAGGACCTCATGCTGCAAAAGTCAGATGCTCTGGGTCTGTGGTTCCCAAAAGTCAGTGGTTCTCAAAGTGGGTCCCCCGAACCAGCAGCAGCAACACCCCCCAGGAAACTGTTATGAATGCAAACTCCTGGGCCCCACCCCAGACCTCCTTATCCAAAAACTCTGGAGAAAAGACCCAGTGATCAGTCTCCAGGTGACTTGGCTGGTCACTCAGATTGGAGAAAGGGCCCTGCTCTGGGCAGGCAGGAGGCACAGAGGCTCGAGACTACAGGCCTGGCTTGCGTCCTGGCTCCAACTTTCCATAAACCTGATCTGGTCTAGTCTAGAGAAATCCACCAATTATACAACCCGCTTTCCTTACTCGTGGAATGGGGTCATAACGGTAACAACAGCGGGCTGCTGTGAGGCTCAGATCAGGTGACAACAGACACCTGGCTCACAGAACGGGCTCAACGGATGTGAGTCAGGACTAGCACTTAGTGGCTACATCCTTTGTGTTCCTAACGCTTTTTAGTCAAGCTGCTGCGTTTGAAGCTGTAACCCGAAGACAATGAGAACGTTTAGCTGGACCATATGCATCCATACGCCAAAACACTATACGGCCAGGAAAAGACAAAAAAAAAAACACAAAAACACTATACAGCCAGGTAAAATAGCCTGGCAGCTGTGTATCTATTCACTGACCTTGGGGGAAAAACAAACTATTCTATGAAGTGATGGCAAGATTCCCAAACTACATGTAAAGCAAGAGGTTAAAGACAATTTTCTTAATCACGTGGAAAAGGCCGGAGGGATACACCTAAAATGGTAGCAGTGGTCTCCCGGGTGGGGCGAGCTCTTTGTGATTTTCCTTGCAAGCATTCAGAGACTGAAGGCAGATGGTGAAATCACGGGTACAAAGTTTCAGTTTTTAAGTCTCCTTGAATCTCATTCAAGGAGTGTTTCTGCCCCCCAAAATTAAATAAAATAAATTCTAAGGCAAAGGAGGGTGGGAGGTCAAATCATTGTGCCCCAAGAATCCAGGTCCTAATTCCTGGGACCTGTGAGGTCACCTTCTAGGGCAAAACAGGCTCTACAGGTGGGACTAAATTAAGGATTGCAGTCCTAAGTGTTTAGAAGGAGGTGGAGGAGATGGGAGTATGGACGGAGAAGGCATGGGATGGGGCGATGCAGCTATAAGTCAAGGTCCGTCAGCAGCCTCCAGACACCGGGAGGGACAAGGAACAGATTCTCCTCGAGAGCCTGAGGGAGACTCAGGTCACAACCAGGGGGCTGGGAAGTGCCCATCTCCTGGGACCCTCCACAAATCAATCTCAGCGTGGGTTCTTAAGCTCTGCATACCCTGGGAGGCTGGCTCCGCTCTGTGTGCGTCAATTTCCTCATCTATAAAATGAAATCATCCACAGGATCTGCTTCCGGGGCTGCCGGGACGGCCAGCGTGATCTCGGCCTGGTCGGTGCCCTCATTAGGCAGGTTGTTAAGCTTGCCTGTAGGTCAGGTGTTTGTGAGGATTATGAGACCACATATGGAAGGCGCCTAGAAGTGTGCCTGACACATAGTAGGTGTGCAACACGTGCTAACTAAAAAGTCACCTGCCCAGGGGCGCCTGGGTGGCTCAGTCGGTTAGCGTCCAACTTCAGCTCAGGTCATGATCTCACAATCCGTGGGTTCGAGCCCCACGTCGGGCTCTGTGCTGACAGCTCCGAGCCTGGAGCTTGCTCTCAGATTCTGTGTCTCCCTCTCCCTCTCTCAAAAATAAATAGTTTAGAAAAATATTTTAAAAAGTCACCTGCCCAATGCCTAGCAGTGGCTGGTAAGTGGCAAAATTGAGATTCACACTCTCATTTGTCTAACCTCAAGCCCCCTTTCCACTGAGGAACGCCAAGGGAGGTCACATTTAAGTTGGATCTTGGAAAACCGGCAGGACTCTGGGAGCGCTCTTAAATGCACCGGTGTCACACACAGGCGATTGTCAAGTGCATTCGGCTCCAAGGCGCTCAAGCCTGAGGGACTAGCAAACAGATTAACTGAACCAGCCCTTGCACGGATCTTAGAAGTGCGCCTGGTCCCCTGCAAGGGGAGATAGGGAAGGGGCTGCTGGCTCTGTGCCCCGTCCCCTGTCCCGGCCTGGAAACTGCGTATCACAGCGGGAGCCAGGAGACATCTTGGTCACCCGGCGGAGCTCAGAGCCAGAGCCAGGAGGCCGCCCACCTTCGCCGTGGCCGGTGCCCGGGTTCGGGCCGTTGGGATTGCTGGAGTAGTAGAAGCCGTTGTAGAAGGGCAGCCCGGAGACACTGGGCAGCAAGCAGAGGAGGAGCAGCGGGCACATGGTGTCACGCAGGGCTGCAGCGCCAGCGTGTGGGGCACGGAGGGAGCCCGGGGCAGGCTGGGAAGAGGAGAAAACCCAGTTAGGGAAGCCAGTTGCAGGGGCGTCAGGACTCCCGGGTTCCAGCACCTACTCGCCCACTTAATCAACAGGTAATTCTGGAGCATCTTCTGCACCGTAGGCCTGTTCCCAGAGCCGAGAAGATGCACTGGAGCGAGGCCAGGTCCCTGCCCTCAGGGGACCGCCCCCTGCAGGCAAGATGGGCCACCAGGAAGCCGGCAAAGTCTAGGGAGGAGCCCCGAGGAGGCAACAGTCCTGGAGAAAATTACACAGGGCGATGGGCGGTATCAACAGTTTGCAAACCAGACATTGGAAGTTGAAAAGTCGTGAGCAGACTTTCTTAAAGACATCGAAGAGACGAGACTGGAAAATCTCGAGGTGCATTTGTGTTTCGTGAGGGGAGTCCTGCATTGAGGAGCTTTATGTTTCAGTCCAGAGATGTCTTTGGGGCGGGGGGGGGGGGGGGGGGGGAAGGGGAGGTCACAATGTGAAATTTATTTCTTATCCTGAGTCAAGGTCAAAAACAATTTGAAACCCCATTCCGACCTCGGTGGGCACATAAGTAAAATAGGTAGCTAGTCCGTGGCTGTAGTTTTTTTTCATATTGCATTTAAATATTATACCTTGATTACTGAGGGGGGGTGGTGCGCACACAGTCTCCTCCCCTTCATTTATTTTGCGCGCAAGGCTAATGTTTCACCCGCCTGCCCCTCATCACCATTTGATGAGCACCTAAAGGTTTAAAAGACCAGCAGCCTGGGAGGCACCCAATGCTGATGGGGCAGAGGCCACGGTGGTTGCGTTCGAGAGCGGAGGGGAGGCAGGGGGGCGGGTACAGAAGAAGCGTGAAAACTTGACTGCAGACCTGGGCGTGAGCCAGCTGGAAAGGACGCTAAGGTGTCCCCAGCCAAGGGCAGGGCAACCACAAAAGCCCAGAGGCTAGAGAGAATATGTGGGGGTCTGAGAATGTGCTAGAAGCTCTCCATTTGTGCCCTTCTCTGTCCTGCATTGATCTCTGCGGTGGTTTCTCTTGGGGGGTGGAGGGCTGGCTCCTGGTTTCCAGCGGACTCCTCTCCCCAGCACCTGTAACCCTATTTCCTGCTCCCTTCCTCCTAAGACCTGGGGGGGGGGGGGCAGTGACTGCCATTGTCTGTGCCTTCTGCTCCCTTGTTACCCCCACTCTAGAAGCCGGCCAGTGCTTCCTTGTTAGTCTCTCTAGTGGAACCACCTAGGGTGAAGTCTTCCTGCCGAGACCCTGGCTGAGTTAGGGGAGAGGCGGTGAGCCTTTGGGGCCCAACAAGCAGCCTTTTCCTTCTCTCCTTTGTCCCCAAGGCCCTGAGTGTCAGGAATGGCTGTAAGCAGAGGGCCCGTAGGATCAGACAAACCTCTCAGTAACCCCCCTGCAGGGGCTGAGCAGAAAGGGGAGTGTGGGGCAGCGAGGCCGGGGCGGCGGCGGGCAGTGGGAAGTATGATCCTGCAGCAACGTGGAAGAACACTGAGGGTGTAATTTAAAATGGGCAAAGAAGATGTGAGAACTGCCGCTCCGCTATGATTGTAAGGTTGTGGCCCTGTGAGGGCATGTTGTACAGAAACCAGAATGAACGGGGACAAAAAGAAGGGGAAAGGCAGCGGGGGAGGGGGAGGGGGAGGGGGGAGGGAAGGGCAAAAGAAAAAGCAGCAACACCTGGGTGGCTCAGTTGGTTGAGCACCTGACTTGAGCTCAGGTCATGATATCACAGTTTATGGGTTCGAGCCCCATGTCAGGCTTAGGGATGACCTCCCAGAATCTCTGCTCCCCTGCTCATGCGTGTGCTCTGTCTCTCTCTCAAAGGTAAATAGACATTAAAAAAAATTTTTTTTAGGGGCGCCTGGGTGGCTTAGTCGGTTAAGCGTCCGACTTTCACTTAGGTCATGATCTCGCGGTTCGTGGGTTCGAGCCCCGCGTTGGGCTCTGTGCTGACTGCCAGCTCAGAGCCTGGAGCCTGTTTCAGGGTCTGTATCTCCCTCTCTCTCTGACCCTCCCCTGCTCACGCTGTCTCTCTCTCTCCTAGAAATTTTTAAAAAAAATTTTTTTAAAGGAAAGGAGAGCACAGAACCTGTAAAGGTGTTCAGATTCTGCAGGGAACCTTCTTGTTTCCAGAACAGTTAGGAACCCTTGGGGAAGAGGAAGGAGCGAAGGTGCAGGAAGTTGAGGTGTAATGCACTTCTCTCCTGGACACCTTTGCGGAGAGCTTGAGGTCTGTGCCGGGCGGTCCAGGAAGATCCCGCCCTTCCCAGGTCTCGCTCCTTCCAAGAGGCCCCAGGTGACTCTGCTAAGTCCCCACGGGGACTTGGGTCCGGGCGGCCCAAGCACAGTCAGGCAACCTAATGGTTCCTACCATCTGGAGATAGGAAGGAAGCTCTGGGTTCAAATCACAGGTCTCGTGCCGACCAGCTGTGTGATTCCAGGCCGGTTCCCTCACTTGGGGAACCCAGTTCGCAACCCCCGCCCCCAGCGTACTTCTCCCCGACATGGTCTGCTTTTCTCCTACAGTAACCGCTCCAAGGCCTCCCTTTGCAGCTAGGAGGGGCAGAGCTGGGCAGCGAGCAGGATGAACATGACACACGCAGGTCCTGGGTTAAAACAGGGACGGGGGCACCAGGGTGGCTCCGTTGTTAAGCATCTGACTCTTGATTGTGGCTCAGACGGTTCGTGGGTTCGAGCCCCGCATCAGGCTCTGTGCTGACCGCTCAGAGCCTGCAGCCTGCGTCAGATTCTGTGTCTCCCTCTCTCGCTGCCCCTTCCCCGCTCGCATTCTCTCTCAAAAATAAACCTTAAAAGAAAAAAAAAAAGTTAGGGATACTTTTTCCTGGTATTCTTTCCCTCAACCTGCTGGCAACCAAAGGGGCTACCTCAGTCTCAAAGATGTAAAGCACAGGCTCAGAGGTAAAGCTGTGGCCCATCCCTGGGAAGGCCTCCTCTGTACTGTGTCCTAAGAGAAACAATGTCCTACAGTATTTAGGCCACTGCATTTTAAGTCACTCTGTGAGCACAGCTTAGCCTCGCTGGGACTATCATTGGCATAAAATTAACAGCTGAGTTTAATGAGCACTTATTATCTCACTTAATCCTCCGCACAACTCCTGGAGGTAGAACCGATTAGTAGCCTCATTTTTACAGGTGGGAAAACCAAGGCACAGAGGGATTCAATAATCTGCCCGAGGTCCTCCGGCTAGGACGTGGCAGAGCTGGGATTTGAACCCACTCCAGCTCCAAAGCCCGGAAGGAGCATGTCCCATTCAGGGAGGTGATGTGTGCAGAGCACACAGTTCAGTGCCTGGTAGGAGGTGGTTTCCTTTCCCCTTCTTGAGGTCCCACGTTTGGAACCGGGAAGGAAGTGAAACGAGGACCGAGAGGCTGTTGATGCTGCTGAGCTGCGTGTCACGGGGTCCACCCTGTCCTTGGGAGGGGCCGCAGCGGAGGGGCTCACCAGCCCGTCTGCCGTGTGCCCCCCAGTGAGAAAGGGCTTCCCTGGGGATGCGCAAATGGAGGGGTTTCTGCTACAAAGTGAGATTTGTGTGCTTGGGGAGAAATCTATTTTGGGGGCGCCTGGGTGGCTTCGTCGGTTGAGCCTCTACTTCAACTCCGGTCATGATCTCAGTTCGTGGGTTCGAGCCCCGCATCAGGCTCTGTGCTGACCTCTCAAAAACTGGAGCCTGCTTCGGATTCAGGGTCTCCTTCTCTCTCTAAGCCCCTCCCCGCTCATGCACGTGTGTGCTCTCTCAAAACCATTAAAAAATTTTAATGTATATTTTTGCATTAAATGCATTAAATAACAAGATTGGGGTTGGAATAAGGTTGGGGTCAGATTACTCAAAACATACTTGTAACCAGCATGTTAAGAAAACAGTCCAGGAACAGTCCTAATAAACGCCAGGACTGTTCACTCTCTGCTGACATCGGCAACCCATCAATCAGCCCTTTGAATCCCCCCCCTTACCCCCTGACCCCAGACCACACACACACACACCCCTCGGGCAGAAACCAGTGCTTCCTCCTTTGAGGTGTAGGTCTTCAGGACACTAGATCCCAATAGAAACCAGATTTACTGAAACTAAGAATCTGACCCAGGGTGAAGCCATCTTCAATCTTTTAACTCCAGGGACATGCCATTTGCAACTTCATGTGATTCCTACGTTTATCAGAAAACCTTGTGTTAATAAGCAGCCGTCCGAGCATCCCTCCCTCCACAAACCTACCGCGTCCCTGAGTCGACACGGTGCGGAGTTTGGGTCTTGAGAGGCGGGACAATGTGATGGGAAGGGAGGCTGCGTGATCCAATCTGTTTGGTTCCTGGGCTTTGAAGCCTGAACGGCAGGAGCTTGGATAGTGACACACGGGCGCGTGTAACAAGAAAGACGCTTTCTGAGGACTGTGCTGCTTACGGAATCTGTCGCTTGCTAAAGCTTGCTCTTGGTGAGAAATCCTGTTACAGTCGCTCCAAATACATCAGCGTGTTGAGAAAAATCGCCTCTGGACAAATGCCATCCCGTGTCAGACTGACCTCAGTCCCCCCTTGTTCTTACCAATCGTGAATGCGGTGATTCCCGACTCAGAAACCCGCCCCGAGGCAGGAAAGACTATAGCACCTTGCGTCCTCCAGCGAGCTCTTGGCACGCCTTCCCGCCCCTAAGACCCCACCCAGCACACACTCACAACCTCACGCCTGAGAACTGCACTTCCCCCCTGGGTATTCGAGGGTTTCCGTGGCCAGCGGCAACCTTGACCCTCCCAAGAAGCCCACCTCCACCCAAGTCAGCGAGAACTGTATTCTCCCCATTGTATCCACGGGTAAACAGAGGCACAAAGGCATGAAGCAATTCTCTAAAGGTCACATGGCCAAGAAGCAGGATTCTACTGACCTCTCCAGCCAACCCCCATCACGGTCTGTCACCGTTAAGGACTGCCTTCCACTTGTCCGTGCATCTTCACGGATGTCCTTGCCTGCGGGTCTCCCAATGTCAGAATTTATATCCCCATTGTACAGCCAAGGAAACGGGGCTCAGCTAAGGTGCATGGCTGAGGTTACCCAGGTAGGAGATGAAGGAGTTGGAATCTGACCCCCTTCACTCAGCGAGGGTTTCTCACACATCTACCGTGTGCCAGACAGCGCTCTGGGCATGCCGGACACCCCTCACAATCTTCCTGGGGGTTATATTCCAGTGAGAGAAACGGAGCGTGAGGTGCGACATAGTGATGTCAAAGTCGTGCATGTGACCGAGGAGGCTGAAGCCGGAGAGGGGAGTGTGCCTGGACCCAGGATGGATCAGGAAGGGCCTCCCTGAGAAGGGGACCGGCTGAAGGTGGGAGCTTTAGGAATCCTAGGGAAAAGCATTCCTTGGGAGGGAACAGCAAGTGCAAAGGCCTTCGGCAGGAATAGCCTGAAGGCCGACGAGGAGCGAAGAGCAAGAGGGGAGGGCGGTGGGACATGATGCCCCACAGCTGTCACGGGGCCACTGGGACCACTGAAGGGAAGACACTGAGGGTTTTCAGCAGGGGACAGCTATGAATCAGACTTCCATCCTAAAAAACCCACGCAGGCTATCTCCCCGCCTCGGCTCAGGTGCCTGGCCTCATCCTGGCTTCTCCTTTCCAGCTAAAAGCAGCCCCAGTTCTCTTTACTTCAGTCCCTCTCCAGTCTGGACACACCCCTCGGTCCACTCTCTGGCTTGTTAACGCTACGGCAGCGGCAGGGGCACCCAGCTGGCTCAGTGGGTGAAACGTGTGACTCCTGATCTCAGGCTTGTGAGTTCGAGGCCCATGTTAGGCGTGGAGCCTGCTTAAAACAAAAAAACAAAATCCACAGCAAAGGGAGAGGTGCGATCTGGTCAACCCCTCTCTCTGCCGGATGCTAGCCCAGCAGTCCCACAGCATTACAGTGTGGGGGGGGGGGGGGTACCGAGGGTACCAAGACAAACCAAAGGAGTTCTGAACATGAGCCCTGTGCCCAGGCGCTACGACCCTGATGGAGGCAGGCCCTCCTTGTCCAGCCCTCTTTGATGGGAGTGCGGCACAGAAAGCCCGAGGTGTCCAGGCTGACTAATGTCCAGGTGACCCCCCCCCTGCCCACAAGGCTGGATGACTCTGGGCAAGCCATTCACTTCTCTGCAGAGGCTTCCCCGTCTCCAGAGAAGACTTACAGGAAAGCTCAAGGGTTGATGACAAATGCACCCTGAACGTCATGTGAAAGCAGAGCTGAATCCTGATCATGAGCCTCGAGTGACAAATGCCGCTTAGCTGTCGCCCTGCCCCAGGCCCGTCTCTGACCACCACCACCACTCAGGGAAGCAGAAGACCCTCTCCACTCCCCTAAGCCACCCACCCTGGCCCCCCAGCCCCTCAGAACCACCAAAGGTGCCACCAGCTAGAAGGGTCGAGAACAAGCCCAGCCCAGTCACCCCGGCAGCTGGGGGCTCCCCAGAGCAGCTGGAGCTCTGCCTGGGGGAAGACCCACCTGCACCCTGCTGAGTGACCTTGAACGAGTTTCTCAGCCTCCCTAGATCTCCATGCCCTCCTTTGTAAAAACACAAATGATGGCTACTAGCACCCCTCCCTCTCGGGCTGTGGGGAGGATTTTACAAGATGAACTCTGTCCACATGGCAGGTGCCCAATAAAGAGAGGTTAACGCATCTTGGCAGAGAACGTAGGGGCAGATTTCGGGTTCTAGCATCAGACCGGCCACCTGGATTTGGTCCTGGTCCCACCCAGTTACTAACCGTGTATCAGTGGGAGTGCCTGGCTGGCTCAGCCAGTAGACCATACAGCTCTTGATCTCAGGGCGGTGAGTTCAAGCCCCACGACCGGTGTAGAGAAGCCTTTAAAAATAGAATCTTGGGCACCTGACTGATCGTCAGTTAAGTGTCTGACTTGAGCTCAGGCCATGATCTCCTGGTCCATGGGTTCGAGCCCCGCATCAGGCTCTGTGCTGACCGCTCAGAGCCTGGAGCCTGCTTTGGATTCTGTGTCTCCCTCTCTCTTCCCTGCCCTGCTCATGTTTGTGTGCACTCGCTTGCTCTCCCTCTCCCCTCCCCCCCATCAGAGATGAATAAGCATTAAAATTTTTTTTAACCTTTAAAAACAGTGTACCAATGGGCAAGTCACTGAGGTTCAGTTTCCTCCTCTGTAAGATGCGGGGGTCACAATAATTCCAATTAGAAAAGATTAAGGGAGAGAAGGAGGGTGAGCACTCAAAGATGAGCTGTTACTATTCACAGCGTACAAGGTGAACTCTCACGTTACTTCAGTGGATCTTTCTCCCCTCTCCTTGCCTAGGAAAGAAAGCAAGCCACCATCGCCTTCCCTTGACGATTGGGGTCACTGAGGCTAGGGGCGTGCAGAGGAGTGAAGTACCCAAGGCTTTATTTTTGGTAAACAGGCCGAGGTTAGAGAAAACTCTAGTCTCCTGGCCACGCATCCTTTGCTTCTCCCAGCACCACTTGCCTCGGGACAACTCCACGCATCAGAGGAAGCTGAACCCCACCTTGGAAGGGCCACACCCCGCCCCAGACTATTCTCGCTGTGCGACGGAGAGCAGGTCCCCCAATCTCCAGCAGGGGGCAGCACTGCCCTCCCGGTCTCCACAAGCCCCGGCTCCGGGTGAGGATTTCGACTTCGGTGCCCCGGGTTTAGACCAGGCTTACAGGCGCCTTTGAAACCTGCGGCCCCCGGAAAGTGGAAGCCGTGGAAGCCGGGGGTCTTTCCTACCAGCATTCCCTTCCCGCTGGCTCCTGCAGGGCGGCGGGAGGGAGACCCGGGCGCCTCTCCGTCACCTCCCCTGCGCGGAGCAGAAGCACCCCGGGGTCGGCGCTGGGCACCGAGGGCGAGGCCGGGTCGCAGGCTGCTGGGGCCGCCCAGCGAGCTGGTGACCGAGCTGGGTCCAAGCGCCCGCGCTGTTTCCTTCTTAGCCGCTCCACAGACCCCCTCGAACGACCCCATCTCCCACCCCGAGCACTTCTCGCCACCCTCCCTCTACGCCCCTGGTCTCGCCGCCCTAAGGCGGAAACCTCGGTGAACCGAGGCCTGAAACCGACGGGCATCCTTCGCGCTTTTCCTGGGCAGAGGCCAAGAGGCGCAGGCCTGCCCGCCCGCCGCCACGCGGGTGGTCCCCAGCCCCCCACCGCACCCCCTGAACCCCAGAGCTCGCGACAGACGCTGCGCCCCGCGCCGGAGGCTGCAGGGCTCAGACGGGGTGAGACGGGAGGGATCTGGGGGGCCCCGGTGGCAAAGGAGCTGGGCCTGGCGGTGGTCTTGGAGGCATCGGGTTTCGCTAGGGATTAGCTTCCTCCAGGCGAGCCCTGGGGCTCCGCGTAAGCGAGGCCCCCGCCCGGCTCTCCCAGCACTCGCGCCCCGGGTGCGCCCCAGGGGCGATCAGCACCCAGCTCCGCCCCGGCCCCGCGGTGCCCAGCGCACTCCCCGTGCCCGCTTTCCCCGCCCCCGCCCGAGAGGCATGGGGCCCCGCGGGAGAACCCAAAACGGGGAGGGGGAACCCGGCCCCCAGGGGGGCCCCCGGAGCCCGAGCTCCCCGGAGCTACGCACCGTCCCCCGGAGGCTCCTCGACGGCGGGAGCGCTCCCGGCCTCGGACTGTCGGGTGTGAGGGATCCTGAATGTCTCCAGAGGAAGCGGCTGCGGATAAACCCCCGCGCTCCCGCCGGGCCGGCCCCTTAAAGGAACACACGCCCCTTTCCCTCCCGGGGGGGCTGGGTCCAAAGGGAGGAGTTGGTGCCGACCTGGGCGGTCTCCAGACTCGGCTGGGGATCGCCTCCAAGCCTCGGAGATGCTGCGAAGGGAGTGTCCAGGAGCTGCCGTCACCTCTTAGACGGGGTGAGTGGGAGATGGAAGAAACGTGTTACTGAGGGAGGTCCCCTTAGATCATTTCAGATTCCCCAAAGAAAACAGTGGGACTCAGGGGGGAGCCCCTCCCCAGCACTCTGCAGGTGGGCTATGGCTGCCCCCCCCCACCTTGGGGAGAGGTTGAAGTGTTCCGTATGCCTTTCCCCCCCATATAAGACGAGAGCAATGACATCCCTCCTGCCCATGACCTTGGCCATCATGAAATCCCCGGACTGTCAGTGCTGGGCACAAAGATGCTGACCACAGTAGGTGAGGCTTGAATCGATGGTCTTGGAGGGAGGGAAGGCAAGTGAGGGGTGCTTCCTGAGGTCAGCAGGGACAACCAAGGCTTCTGACCGGTGCTTCAACAGGGGGAGGGCCCTCAGTTAGAAGGCTGACAGCAGTCGAATCCGCCATCCGGCATCACCTCCCAGAACTGTTTGGACAGGGTGTTCTGTTTCCGTCCTGGCCGACAGGGGTGCTGGGCTAGACAGTTTCCCTGAGCACAGAAGCCTAGAGATCCTTCAACCATAGCCGGCAGAGGGGCCACGGGGGTCATTGAATCTACAGCCTGCTCTTAAACACACCACAGCCTGCGCACACGTGTGTGTGTGTGTGTTACACAGGAGCCAGGAGCACGTCAGAGCACTAAGAGCTGCGGCGAACTAGAAGCTACACATCGGAAATGAATGCCATGCTTCCGGGAGCCAGTGAAGCTTCCTCCCCCAGGTGGAGAGGTCCATCTGACCTGCGTGTGCAGAAGGACTGGAGGGCTGATAAAACACAAGTACCAAGGGGCGCCTGGGTGGCTTAGTCGGTTAAGCCTCCGACTTTCGCTTAGGTCATGATCTCGCGGTTCGTGGGCCCGAGCCCTGCGTCGGGCTCTGTGCTGACTGCCAGCTCAGAGCCTGGGGCCTATTTCAGAGTCTGTGACTCCCTCTCTCTCTGACCCTCCCCTGCTCATGCTGTCTCTCTCTCTCTCTCTCTCTCTCTCTCTCTCTCTCTGAGGCCTCCAACACACACCACCGTACCTGTCCATTCTGTCCGTTAGTCTCCAAGTCTCCACAAGGCCATGGAGCCAGTCCTATTCTTCCCATTTTACAGATGTGAGAACTGAGGCCCAGAGATTTCAACAAATTGCCTAAGGTTGCTTGGAGCCAAGATGTGAGCTCAGCTTTTCCAACCGGAGACCTTGCGTTCCTAGGGACCCCACCCTGTTTAAACCAGGGGAGCCCTGACTCCTGGGAGAGGCAGGTCTGTGGGTCCCAGTGCTGATGGCCACGGGACAGGGGCGACAGCAGCAGGGAAGGGCAGTTTTGCTCCAGCAAGTTTCACAGGCCAGCCGGGGCTGGCTCTCCAGACCGTGGTCAGGAATAAAACAAGTTTTGGGGAAGAGGTGGTGAACTTCAGTGGGGGCGGAAAGACTATCAAGGGAGAGGAGCCAAGGGCAGGAAGGTCAGGAATAGGGGCCCCAGGTTTCCCAGAGGGGGGGCTTTCAGAAGGCTGTGACCAACTCCTCCAAGATTGCAGAGATGAGCAGAAGAGCCTGGGTGGCCTAAGCCACTCCAGAGTGAGCTCGGGGCTCCCGGGCCAGGTGGGGGCCTTGTGACGACGGCCCACCAGTGCCCGCGGCCAGCCGGCCACTGAGACTGGCCCACAGCAGACGTTCAATGCCACGAACGGGGGTTGTGGACCTGCACAAGTGAAGCTCCGCTTCCCCTCCTGGGCCTCCAGCATCCTAGCAAAGCTCACAGCGCAGTTGAGTGCTGGGGAGGTGGGATCATCCGGGGGCACAGGTACACTGGAAAGAAGCTTCTCCCGCTCTCCGCAGGGCCCCAGGAGAGGCCAGAACAGGGCTGTGGATAGGAAGTGCTCCCACAGGGTGTCCAGAGGCCATCATCAGTCTCCAAATACAAGCCAGGCAGACCTCACAGAAGAGGTCTTGGAGACCAGAGGGAGTGGGCTGAGACCCCCAGGGGGCGGGAGCCCCATTCCCCATTCCCCATTCCCCATTCCCCATTCCCCATTCCCCATTCCCCATTCCCCATTCCCCATAGACCACAGTCTGGGCTTGTGGTCTGTTCCCGCCAGCAAGGGCAGCTCTCAGGAAGGGGCCACTTCCAGGCTACTCTTCCTCACCAATTCCAGCAAAGCCACACCCTCCCTTTGGCACCCGCATGGCCAGATCTGCCTAGGCTCAGAAAGTTCCAGAACAGGGGCGCCTGGGTGGCTTAGTCGGTTAAGCGTCTGACTTTCGCTCAGGTCATGATCTCGCGGTTCGTGGGTTCGAGCCCCGCGTCGGGCTCTGTGCTGACTGCCAGCTCAGAGCCTGGAGCCTGTTTCAGTCTGTGACTCCCTCTCTCTCTGACCCTCCCCTGCTCACGCTGTCTCTCTCTCTCTCTCTCCTAGAAATAAATCATTAAAAAAAAAAAAATTTAAAAAAAAAAAAAAAGTTCCAGAACATTCACCTGGGATACTAAGCCGATTTGATCTACCCCTTTCCTAGCTACTCTACCCCTCCCTCCCCGCCCCGATCACCAGGCCGCTGGCCTGTATGTCCCAAGGCTGTGTCCCGATTGCCCCTGCATGGGGGGCTGGGTGGGGAGGGCAGAGGGGGTACCCCTGGGGCTTTCCTCGGCCCCACAGCCCTGCTAGTGGCCTCTCAGGAACTAGTGTGCTCAGCCAGGAGGCCTCGGGACCACTTGGCAGGGCCCCACCCCCTGGAGCCTCATGCAGCTGAACGCAGCCCAGGTTCATGGAACTTACAGCAGCTTCTCCAGCCCATTGCTCTAGGTGCAGAGAACACGCCGAAAGGGAAACCCACTGGCCTCAGCCTCTCCTACTTGCGTGGGAAGGGAGCAAAGGCCTTCCTTGGAGACAGGCTATGTGTGTGCAAGGCGTGCCCTGGGCCCCTCACCAGGCAGCAGCTGTGACCCCAAGGCTGCAGGAGTCTGGGTCTAGGGCAGGAAGAACAGAGAAGAGGCCTGGGCATCAGGACTCAGTGGGACCCCCCCCTCTGGAGTCTCCCCCTTCTCCCTTTAAGCTCTCCCCAGCTAGGTGACCCCACAATACTGGGGTCAGGAAGGATGGGGGGGCGGGGAGACAGGCCAAGCCCAGGGGACGGAGCAAACATGAGCCACACAAGAGTTCAGGGGGTGATATAAATATATTCTGGAAGCTGCCTGGGCACTCTGGGGAAGAACCAGCGCAGAGGGCGCCTCCCATGCTCACCCACCCACCTGCATCCCTCTCTCTCCATAAGCCCACCCCACCCCACCCCACCCCACCCCCTTCTGTCTCTCAGGCTTCAGAGCAAGGGTCAAGAGGGGTGGGTCTCCAGGGAGATCAGGGGGCTGTGGGAGGAGGCTGGGTGGCAGTGGCAGTTGAGTGGCAGCGTGGTGCTGAGGGACAGGAGACCTTTATGTCCAGCCTGGCACCTCCGGGCCTTCCTCCAGGGCCCTGGGACCGCGGGGGCGGGGAGCACGCAGGGGGAACAGGGAGCCTAGAACCAGGAATCCAAGAGGCGCGGGCAGCCCCGGCTTCCTGCTTTGCCCTTGCTCTCCATCCCAGACCTACTCGACTCCAGTGTCTAAGAAAATGATGAGGTGGCGTGAGGGCTGGGTGCGGGGCCACAGGGTAGGGGGAGGAGAGGGGTGGGGAGAGGGCGGTGACTGAAACCCCTGCCCCCCAGTCCCCGGCAATCAGGAGGTGGGGTGGAGAAGGCAGCAGGCCACCAGAAGGGCCGGGAAGAGCAGGGCAGGGCCAGGCGCCCCTCGGCCAGGCCGGCCACACGCAGCACTAACAGCCCAGCAGTTCCACGCGCAGGGTGATTCGGTTGTGCCAGGCGACGGGCAGGATGCGCACAAAACGAGCCAGGAAGGGCATCTCGAACATGTTCTTCTTGTGGGAATTATTGTCCAAGTTGCCAGGGAAGATCTGGGGGCAGAGGTGGATGTCGGGGGGGGGGCCCAGAGCCATCCCCCCGCCCCCCTCTTACCCCCCGCCCCCCTCTTACCCCCCGCCCCCCTCTTACCCCCCGCCCCCCTCTTACCCCCCGCCCCCCTCTTACCCCCCCACCAGGCTCAGAGGGTCTCCCCCCCGGGCCCACCGAGGGTCAGCTGGCCGGACACTCACCTTGCTGTCCAAGGCCCCCTGGTCCCTGTACTCGATCCAGTTCGTGCTGTCGTTACTATAAGCAACCTTGTAGGCCGCGACATATTGGATGTGGCCAAAGTCTCGGGCCCCCTGGGTAATGATGCCCGTCACCTCCCTCTGGGAGCCCAAATCAACCTGCAGGAAAAATCAAGCACATTGTCTCTGTTTAGACCATTCCCCAGAGAGGTGGAAACAAGCAGACACGCTGCGGCAGGACTTCTAGTTTGGGGACAGCTATTTCATCTGGCTCGACCTCAGTTACCCCATCTATGAAATGGACAGGAATCCTACCACCTACTTTGTCAGACACGGTTAGACACATCACTGCAGTGAAGCTACATTTCAGAGCGGGGGGGCGGGGGGCCTTGGCCAACCTGTAGCCCATCCCCCACCCCCCGTGCAGTGAGGACAAGGACAGGGGAGACCCCGGGCGAGCTCCTGGGCACCCTGCAGAGCTGTCCACAGCCTGGCCTTAATCCCAAGGGAGTCCAGATGCAGGCAGCTCCTCCCAGAACCTAGCTGCACAGGCTAATGGCTCCTTGGGACCTGGAGCCAAAGCCCCTGCCCCCCAGTTCCTGCCCACTCGGGGGGGGGTGGGGAGGGCTGGCTCCTGTGCGCGGACAGGCTGTCCAGGTGGCACGCCGGACTAGCTGCCACCCAGCAGCTGAGGCCCAGGCAAACCCTTGCCCGCCGGGGCTGTTTCCTCGTCTATGACGTGAGCAGACAGTCTGGTTTCCTGTGACCCTCCTGGCTCCCAATCTCCTGAAATCCAAGGGCTGCCCCCACGGTGTGTCCTCACACCGCGAGTCAGGCAGAGAGACGCTGGGGTGTGCCCGCCTGGGTCGCATGTCCCTTCTCCGTCCTGTCCCTACTGTCCTCGGGCTCAGTCACCCTGGGGCAGCTGGTGGAGACGGCTCCGGTGCTGCGCACACGCACAATCATCCTCTCCAGAACCAGGAGGAGGTGGGGCACGTGGGAGGGAAAATGAACAAAGCGGAAGACAAACCAGGCTGTTCAGAGCCTCCCTCTCGGGGAGCAGAAGCCTGGGCTGGGCGGGGTGTCCCTGATCAGCCCCCCGGGTCCCGCCCAACCCAGCCCTGCGTCAGACCCACCTGCAGCCACTCGGAGGCATCGTTGGTCTGGGCGGTCCAGGCATTGAACTTGCCCTGCTTGTCCAGCCTCGCATAAGAGGGAAACCAGCCGAAGGCGCTGAGGCCCCAGGTCTTGTAGAGGCTGGAGGCCGTGATCTGCTTGTCCGGGATGGTGCCGTCCTTCATTCCCAGGGGCTCGGCACATCCTGCCGGCAGAGGGGTGTGCCGCCCGCTCAGCATCCACAGCCTCCCACGAGCGAGTGCGAGGAGACCAGGGGAGGAACTCTGGGTGCCCTGACCGGCCCTGGGCTTCCTCTTAGACAGACGGAAGCCCCTTCACCTTGGAGAGCCCACTTTGCCTCGGTCAGCTGCCTTCTGTACCCAGCCCCGCCCTCGCCTGCCTGCCCGCCCTTCAGAGGACCCCCCACTTTCCCCCTCTGCACGAAGGCAGGCCCTGCTACCACCTCCCACCCTCCTCCAAGACCTGCCTCGTGCGACACCTCCTCCAAGAAGCCTGCCCTGACCACCTCACTTGGGGGGGAACTCCTCCCTCCTTTGGACTCCGCACTGTCTCTCTCACTCCTATGGTCCAGCTGTGGTCTACAAGGCTGCCGCCCGCAACTGCGGTCAAGCACATCAGCAGCATCTCCTCCCTCCTGCGCTCACGGCTGTCATTCAATCTGCCACAAAAAAACCTGAAAGCCGACCTCCGTAACCCCATTCTATGGGTGAACAAAACTGAGGCTGAGATTCATTAATAAGCATCGTGCCCATGTCACACACAAACTCATCACCACACCACGCCACGCTGTGACCTCATCGCCGCCATCAACGCCCCCTCGCAGAGCCAGGAAGGCCTGCCTGCTGACCCGGTGATGCACAACAGTGCCTCCCCCTCCCCCCGCCCAGCAGGTGACAGTCACAGATGGCTCTTGCATCCTTGCCCCAGCAGCCCCTCCCTCAGTGTCCACCAGGGGCCGTCACACCCTCAGCCCCCAGCACTGGGGGCGCTGTCACACTGACCAGGGACGTCCTGCTCGGCTCCCTGCACTACTCCTCTGCACCTCCAGGTGGCGGTAGCAGCCAGGGCCGGGCAGAAGAGAAAACTCCCAAGAAAGAAGGGTGTGTCTCCCCCAGGCAGAATCCTTACTCCAGTCGGTCTGTCCTTGTGGGGAATTTGGGGGTGGGGGAAGCGGGCCGGAAAGCCACCCCTTCATCTGGAAGCAGGTATGTGGCTCTTTACATCATGGCCCAGACGCTTGCACACTTGGCCCTGAAGACATTTGCCTCCTGGGGCGCCAGAGAGGCTCAGGCAGGTGAGCATCAGACTTCGCCTCGGGTCACGATCTCCATTTGTGAGTTCGAGCCCCGTGTCAGGCTCCCTGCTGTCAGCACAGAGCCGTCTTCAGAACCTCTGTCTCTTTCTCTCTTTCAAAAATAAACTTGAAAAAAGAAAAGGACGTAATATAACTTATTTAAAAAAAGATTTGCTTCCCAGGAGTGCCCGTGGCTGCTAATGGTAAACCTCTCCTCGCGATGTGGTGCCCAGGCATCCTGAGGAAGTCAGACGGCCCCACCAAGGAAGATGCAGTTGGGAGGGGCATGGAGCCAAGGCAAGGACTCCGGCTCCGTCACTCACCCTGGGAAGGCCCCCCCCCCCCGCTGCCCCCCGACCGGAGAAGTGCTTCTTCTGCATTGACCCGGGACCTTGTTGCAATGAAGATGGTCTCCGCAGGTCTAGGGCAGGACTGGCACCCACATTTCTACAAGCCCCCAGGTGAGGCCCGTACTTCTGGGTCCACAGAGCACACTTTATGAGCAGAGAGCTGTAATCCACCCCACCCAGTGAGTCTACACCTGACCCAAGCCACCTTCTCTTCCCCCAGGGCTCCCCTTGCCCACATGCCCTCTGCCCTCTGCCCTCATTGTCCCTGTACAGCCTGAGGGGTTCCATTCTAGACACTCCGGTCAGGTCCTGTTCGCACTCTCCCCTACCCCCACATAGCTGCCCCTTGTTCTGAGGATAAAGACCTGGATCCTTAAAATGATCCGTACGGCCCCTAACTTGTCTGGCTTCACCCACCTCTCCAGCCTCACCACCCAGCAAGCTGCCGCTCTCTCCAGGCTCCAGCCCCACTGGCCTGCCTTTTATCCCTCAACATGCCCCAGGGCCTTTGCACCTGCCAGCTCCCCGCCTGCCCGGAATGCCCCTTCCAAGTTCTTCACATGGCTTGCTCTCTGTCGTGCAAACCTCCACTCAAAAACCGTCCCGACAGGGCAGTCCTCATGCCCAGACCTCAGGAGAGCAGACAGGCCAGCTTCCACAGCTTGCCAGGCCTTGGAGGGAGCTTCTGGGATAGGGCCATGCAGGCCACTTTAGTAGCCAAAGGCTGCAGAGCCCCCAGGCCTGTCTGTCCAGTACCAATAGCCTAAATTTCCTTTGATCAGCAGGTTATCTTTAACTCCCAATTTAAATAAGGCCCAAATGGCAATGACCCTATGACAGGGGAACACATGATGACTTAAGTTCCTACTTTAAAAGGGCAGGTCTGGGCTAAGACCAGAAAGGCAGGAGCCTGGTGCGCCCCACAGTTGTGCGAGTGGCCAGCAGGTGGCGCTGTGGCTGCAAAGAGGGGGAAAAATCCAGCCCCGCAGCCTGGCGGTCGGACATCACTTTTTCCTGCTCATCAGAAAACTGTCCCTTTCTGGTGCCCCCCATCTCTCCACCAGGGAATATCTCTGGAAAGGGCAGCAGAAAGCACCAGCTCCAACCCTATGGCCCTAGAAGCCCCCACGTCTCCTGAATGACGAGTACAGGAGATGGGGGGGTGAGTGGGTGTCAAAAGCCCAGGGATCTAGACCAAGTTTTAATCCCTACCAGCCGGTGAGCCCTTGATAGATCATTTATCTGGGCCTCACTTTTCTTATTCATTAGTTCATTTAAATGTTTGAACAGAAGCACCTAGGTGGTTCAGTCGGTTAAGCGTCAGACTTTGGCTCAGGTCATGATCTCACGGTTCGTGGGTTCGAGCCTTGCATGGGGCTTTGACCCTGACAGCTCAGAGTTGGATTCTCTCTCTCTCCCCCTCTCTCTCTGCCCCTCCCCCGCTCACATTCTGTCTCTCTCTCAAAAATAAGACCTTTTGAGGAAAAAAAAGACAGCGTGTGCGGGGGAGGGGCAGACACAGAATCTGAAGCAGGCTCCAGAATCTGAGCTGTCAGCACAGAGCCCGATGCGGGGCTCAAACCCACGAACCATGAAATCATGACCTGAGGTGAAGTCAAACACTTAAACAACTAGCCACCCACGTGTGCCAATGTTTACTGAACATCTATGATCCATGCCCCAGGGAATACAGCAGTGAACAAAACAAACTCCCTGCCCACGTGAAGCCAACATCAAAAAAACAACTAAGACTATGTGGTCTAGAAACTCATGGAATCCATCAGAATCAGTGAAAACACTCTGAAAGCTGAAGTGGTGTCTTTTTTTTTTTTTTTCCCTCTAACCAACCCAAACGCCAATGCCAGCAGACCCCTAGGCAAGACCGCCGAGGGCCAGGCGACCCGTCTAGTGGGAGCCCAGGTCCCCGGGCCTTGCGGCCGTAACCCCCAGCTCCTCTTGGCTGAGAAAAGGTGGGGCAGGGAGGCCATCTCTCAGCAAGGACCACAGCCCCCAGCACTCACCGTTCAACTCGCAACCAAGGAGCTCAAAGCGGAGAGTACAGCCCCGGTGGCAGACGACGGGCACCAGCCGCACGTACTGCACCTCCAGAGGGAAGTCAAACAGGTTGACCTTCAGGTGACTGTTGTCCATGTTACCCACAAACACCTAGGAGGAAAGGAGAGTGGAGGGATGGGGTCAGTGTGTGGGCAGCCCACCTTCCTGGGTGGCAGGAGGCGGGGCTTAGCAGAGCCGACAGGGGGGTAGCTCTTCCTCTGGCCACCCCCCACCCTCAACACAGATTCCCCTTCTCACACCTTTCTTGGTCAGCATGGGGCCTGGGCAGAACCCCTGTCTTTCGTACAAGGCCATCTATAATCTCTAGGGCGCCTCTGCAAATTAGAAAAAGGCACTCCTTTTTCAAGACCCTTGATTATAATAATTTCCCCACAGACATAAGTACACAAACATATGTCTACATTCTGAAGGGTGCCCACTTAGTAACGACCTCCTTGAGCAGTGTACAACCTGCACAACTATATGGTGGCCCTGAAGGCTCAGAATGCATTCCCACCCCCACCCCCACCCCCACCCCCCGCCATCCTCAACAGGTCACATTGAACCTTTCTGAGCCTCCTTATTCTCACCTATAAAGTGGGGCGGGGGGTATTACTGGTAACCACAGAACATGGGCATAAGCCGGGTTTCCCAAATTCTGGGAACCATAGAGCAACTGCAGACCCACCTTATGGCCAATCCAGGGTCCCCTCACTTCACTGAGCCCTCAAACAGCTCTGGAGCCCCAGAGGATGCGGACCACAGCCCTTCTCTAGAGCCCTCACCTTGTCTCCTGACCCGTCTGCGCTCTGGATAAACTGGAACTTGCGTCCGTTGACGCTGTAGGCCACCTTGAAAGACTTCAGGTACTCGGCACTCCCCGCTCGGCTGGCCCCCTGTGTCACCACACCTGTCACGCGCATCTGTCGTATCAGGTTTACCTGTGCCCAAAGCAGGGAGAACAGCACCTTATCTCCCTCTGCTCCGCAACCCCCAGAGCGGAAACAACCAAGCAGGGCAGAGGAGGGAGGGCTTTCTCATCTGGGGCTCTCAGAGCTTTGGGCCCAGTGCTCAGGGGAGCACCCAAAGAGGGACAAGCCCCCCCAAGGCTTCGCCCAGTGCTAACAGCCCCTCCCCAGCCTGGGGCCTGCTCCTCATCCAGGCCCCCGACTCCAGACCCCCTCCCCCAAGCTGCCCCCCCACTTAGATACTTTTACCTGTGGGAACCCCCGACCTTGCTACTCGGACCCCAGTTATGAACCCCAAGGTGGTGACCCCCCCAAAATGCAGACCACCTCGTCACGCCCTGTCCCCTCCCGTGACTCCGCCCACCCGAGCCCTTCTTTCCGAACCTGGATCCAGGGGTTCTTATCATAGTTGCTGGCTGTCCACGCGTTGACGATGCCTGAGCGATGCAGGCGGGCCAGCTCTGGGGCCCAGCGCTGTAAACCCAGGAAGCCCAAGTGCACAGACGAGGCAGAGATCTGCGAGTCGGAAATGGCGCCCGACTCCATGCCCAGAGGCATGGCACAGGCTGCGGGGGTGAGGAGAGGGCGACGTGGCTGTCAGGTGGCCACCCGAGTCCCAGAGGACCAGAAGACCACACAGTGTGGCCTCGGCTGAGACTCCGAGCAGAGACCAGGAAAGGGTTATGAGGGCCCAAGAAAGGTGCCCAATGAGGAGGGGGAGGGGGAGGGAGAGGGTGGGCTGGACAGTCGGTGGGGGGGGGGGGGCAGGCTGGGAGCCAGGGCTGCCAGAAGGTTCCAGGACAGGCCAGGCCGGCGCTCCTGGCATTACCAGAATCTCCTGCAAGGCTGTGGCAAGTGGGCTCATCTTCACAGGGCACCGAGAAACAATATGTTGGGGGGGGGGGGGGGACAGGTTCGGACTGACCAGTGAGAGAGAATGCTCTTCTTCGTGTCCCTGGCCCCCCAGGAGACCCACCACGCACAGCCCCAGCCCTGGCCCCCCAGGATGGCTCTGGGAGGAGGGCGCGTCAGGTGGCAGTGAACGATACCGGTTTTGTACATAAAGCACTAAGCAAATCTGCCTGGACTTTTCTACAGTCCCCCGGGCAGGACTCCTCTGGGCAGAACGTGCGTGTCGTTCTGTTTCCTCTCAGATTTTTCGCCCCTTCCAACTACTGGCCCTAACTCAGCCGCCTGCGAGGTTCTTTCCCGGCCAAGGGGCTGTCACCTTCACCAGTACCCCAAGGATGTGGTCCTAGGGGGCTGGGCCCCTCTTACCCCCCCCAGGGATCCCCCAAAGAGAAGCCAGGGACAGATCTACTCTTGATCCAACCCCCCTGCTGAGCTCACTCGCAGGGACAGTGAGGCCAGGCAGCCCAACTCCGAGTTGGCTGGGGGAGGGGCTGAGCCAGGATTTGCACCAAGGTCTGGCCTTACCCCCACGCGTCCACACTCTAAGGGACGCAAGCATGGATTCTTTGGGCCTGTGGGTCCCTGTGGGCTCCAAGAAAGCCCCACCTAACAAGCTGCAGTGGTCCCTCTGGGGCCCCCCCAACTTCTGTGGTTTTCTTCTGCCTTCTGCCCCAGGAGCTGCCGGGTCCAACCCGGGGCAGAAGGCTAGGGGGGTGATTCCAACACAGGGACACCCACGGTCACCTTGGCTCCCAACACCGTAATTAGTGGCACACCTGACCCCACCCAGGGCTGTCTGCCTTGGTGACCCCCCCCTACCGCACACACATGTATACATTCCTCTACCCAGGATCTCAAAAGACATTGGCCACATCCCCCAGCCCCAGCCCCAGCCCCAGCCCCAGCGACAGGCCCTTGATGCCACCTCTGAGCCGAAAGGAAAACAAGGCACTTTACCTGCTCTCTTCCAGGCCCCAGCACCCACCCAACTGGCCAACCCCCCCCCCCCCACCCCCCTGCAGGTCAGCAAACCTCAGAGCATCCCCACATCTGTCTGAAAGAGAACCACCCCCCCCCCCCCCCCCCCCCCCCCCGCCACCCCCACTGGCAGGCAAGGAAGAGGCCGGGCCTGGTGGGAGGGGCCCCAGCTGGGCCAGGAGGGAGGATGCGTGGACAGCCACCCCCAGCACTGTAGGCTGGGCACCCACCCAGGGCCGTTCTGTGGCTGAGCAGATAACCAAGCAGGCCGGGCAGGTCACCCCCCTGCACACGCCAGGCCTCTGACCGCCTGACCGCGAGCGGCCGGCCCAGCCCGCCCAGGCCTCTCCCTCCTCCCCGGGCTCTGGGACGAGGCCACAGTCAAACTTGGGCCAGGAACGGTCAGGCCTCAAGCCTTACTTCCTGACCTGCTGGGCCCTGCGATTAAGAAATGTGTGCGTTTTGCCCTTTTGGCAGAAGACTCTCAAGACTCCACCCTAACGCTGGGCGTCTGGTTCACGGTGACCCGGGAAACAGCACTGTGGTGACGCGACCCCTAGGGTTCCCACCGCCCTTCACTCCCCCTACAGCGACACCAGGCCTTGCCTGGGCTGGAGAGCAGAAGGCCGAACACCGAGCAGGAATTCGCCCAGGACAACAGAACGGTGCCCTCCCCCGACATGGCCCAACGGAGGCCCTGTCACACATACCCCACCCCCCATCTACCAGAGGAGGCCCGGATGCAGGGAATGAGGCTAGCGCCCGGCCTGGGCGGCTCAGGAGCTCCCTGGAAGAGCACGCACCCCCAGATACTCACTGGTCTCACAGTGGATGCCTGTATAGCCATGTGGGCACTTGCAGAAGTACTGGGTGAAGATGTCCCCCCGGTACGTGTCCTTGATCACCTGGCACTCACCATCATTGTAGCAGGGGTTTGGGATACAAGGACCTAGAGGTGAGGAGGCGGGGAAGACGGGCAGAGCATCAGGAAGGAGCTGGGGACGGGCACAGGCGGTAGCAGGTGCCCAAAAGGACCCTCTGTGCAAACTTAGCCCCCTCCCCCTCCCCCTCCCCCATCTGCCTGATGGACCCTGGGCCAGCCTGGCACCAAGAAGGGTCATATGTAGGCGAATCAGTTCAAGTGAGGGAAGCACCCAGCTTTCCAACCAGCATGGAGAGTTTCCAGGGCGATGCTGGTGATGGCGGGGGAGGTGCAGGGGACCCTGGTAGCAGGCGTGCAGGGGACCCCGGTGCGGAGTGGAGGCCGCAGCCCAAGGCAGGTACCTTTCTCGGTCTCATTGCAGATGAGGCCTGTGAAGCCTTCGGGGCAGAGGCAGTAGAAGGGGGTGTTGTCCTGGCCCAACAGGCAAGTCCCACCATTGAGGCACTGGCTAGAGTCACAGAAGTCCCCTGCAATGGCAGTCCGGATGCAGGAACAGCAAGTCATTCAGTGAATACCGGGGTGGGGTGAGGCGGGGAGCTACCGCGTGCAGGCCGGGTCCCTGAGACCGAGAACCCAGGTGTGGTCTGGTGGGCGTGGCCACAAGAAGCCACTGGACAGGGGGACAGTCACTAGGTGATGAAGAGGCTTCAGGAGCTCTGACCAGAAGGGGGCAGGAAGGGCCACCGGAGGTGTGGCTTCTGCCAGAGTTGGAAGTTTTTGCAGAGCAGACACGTGAGCTGGGTCTAAAAGATGGAGTGGAGCGTGCCAGGATGGGGAGTGAGGAAAGAACATTCTAAAGTAGAGCAGAAGCACAGGGGGCGTGTGGTTAAGTGGGAAACAGGAAGACAGAGCTGAAAAGGTAGGTAGGTAGATAGGTAGGGGCCCAGACCCACAGGGACCTTAGAAATGAATGCTATTCATTCCTCTTAATCTTCAGCTTCCACCATTTTCCCCGGGGGTGGGGGGAGCAGGAATCAGAGTTTCAAGTGTGAGAGGGCAGGGGGGAAGCCATATCCCATCCTGGGAAGGAGGACCCGGAGAAGAGTCCATCTGCAGAAATGTGGATGCCCCCTCCAGGGCAGACATGCATCTTGGGGCTACACAAACACCCTTCTGGCTCCACGGTGGGAATGTGACAGTGGTGGGTAGGGGAGAAGCCGGGAGAGCACCTAGGAGGCCGCCACAGGCCTCCTAGTGAGAAAGTCTGATGGAAGGGGTGAGGGGGACGGGAGATTTGCGAAACACTGTGGAGGTAAGAGAAGGGCTGGACAGGACTCAGAGCTTCTGGCAAGCGGGTGGGGGCCCTTCTAGCCGCCCTTAGCATCCCAGAAGGGCCGACCCCATCATTCGGAGTACGACATCAGAAATCGCTTTTGCTGCCCCCAGAGTTGTGCTGTCCCGGGGGGGGCGGGGACCACTCCTGAGATCCCAAAGCACCAGAGAGCTGGGTCCAGCTCAGGAGAAGGGAACAGAGATCACCGTTAATGAGCTCTGAAGACCTCAGAGCCCCACCTCGGCCCACGCCTGGGAGCTTAAGGCGGCTCCCAATGAGCTATTAGTCACTGGCTTTAAATAGCAGGTTAATCCCCTCCCCTGACCTGGCAGACTGGGGCTGGGGAACCGCCAGGCCAGAGTCCCGGGCCCCTGTCCCAACACAATCAACTCTTCTTGCCCCCAACCAACCGCACCCTCTCTCTCCCTTCTGCTCCAGGGCAGAGGGGTGGGTGGCATGGGGGATAAAAAGGAAAGTGAAAGGTGGCCCCGACCCCACCTAGACTGACTCAGCTGCTCAAAGCACCCAAGGTCCCTCTCCCGATCACCCTGCACAAAACCACCTTTGGGATTTCAGAGTCCTGCCTTTGGGGAGATTTCCCCCAGGGACATTTTGCCAGAGGTCAGGTTGTGGGGACAGAGAGGAGCGGAAACGGATTCTTCCGAGATCCAGCTGCCTCTCGGGGGTACGCGGAGAGCCACCGGTGCCCAAGCGCGTGTGGGAGCTTGAAGTGCTCTTAAGGCTCCGGCTCCCCGGGGGGGCGGTCCAGATTGTCACAGGGAGGCCGCTCCAGGGCTCAGCTGGGACCACTCCCTTGCCTTCTTTGAGAAAACGATGCAGCGGGTGCCTGAAGAGCGCCCACGCTGGGCACCTTCTCCCAGCCCTGGAGGGGCCGGGGCGGCCCCGGGACCAGCCTGCAAGGGGACCAGCTGTGCGCGGGAGGCCTCCCAGGCCGGGGAAGAGCCAGGAAGATAGAGCAGCGCGCCAAGGCCGCGGGAGGGAGTCCGGAGCCACCAGCCCAGGCGGCAGCCCTCTCCAAGTCCCTCCCCGCGCTCTCAGCCCCCCTTCGGGGCCCCACCCCGAGCCCCGTCCCTTCCTCCGCCTCCCCACCCCTCGCTTATCCGACCAGACACACCTACAAGCGGGGATGCAAAATTCCAATGAACAGACGTGCCGCCAGAGCTCGGGAGGGATTTGCCTAAGTTGGCTGCACGAGGCTTGGCAGTCCAAGAGTCCTAGAAACTTCCAGGTGGAAGATGCGCGAGAGTCACGCACAGTTCACCGGCCTCATTTTACAGATGGGAAAAGAGAGGTCCTACACAGCAAATTCCTTTGTTACGTGTAAGCCACATCCCGGGGGACCGCTGGGCTGTCACCCGGTGTCCGCGATCCCCGGCCACGAACGCCCGGGGCGCGGAGAGCGCATCCCCGCCCGCGCGCATCCCCGCCGGCGCCCGGCGCGCAGTCGGAGAAGCCGCCCCTCGCACGGCCCCGGCTCTCTGCCCAAGTTTGTAAACAGTGGAGCTGGAGGGAGGGCGCCGCGGCGAACTTCCGAGCGGCGCGGAGAGGAGGGGCGAGGCCCAGAGGGCGGCGCGATCGACTCACCGGAGGAGGCGAGGAGTCCCGGGGCGCAGAGGAGCACGCCGCAGAGCGCGGCCAGCAGGCGGGGGCCCGGCATGCCGTGGGGACGCGCGCACGGACCGGGCGCTTCGGCCGTGCACACCGCGGGGCTCTCGCTCCGGCTCCCGGACGGGAATAAATCAGGCAGCGCAGCACCGCCCCCGCCCGCGTGCTCCGCCCCGGCCTTCGGGAGGCGGGCCCGGGGTGGGGCTCCGCGGCCGGCGGGGAAGGGGGGCCTCGGGGGGGTCAGCGCGCCGCCTTCTACCCGGGGCCGCGCCCCACAACCCTCGTGGGCTGGGCCAGCCGTCCCGGGTCCCGGGTCCCGGGTCCCGGGTCCCGGGTCGGCTGTACAGGAAAAGGCTCAGCGAGAGAGTTGTTTAGTTTTCCGTCTTTCAATTTAAGACTTAAAAAAAGATGCTTAGCCTTTATTCATAATGAGAAAATACAAATTAAAAGCACAGGGAGTGCTAGGTTTCGATGATCAGATTGGCAAGTGCCGGATTATTACGCGCTGTTAGCGCGAGGCTGTGGGGGACCGGCCGCAGCGTGCGTGTGGGAGGCACTGTAAATTGGTTCGACTTCCCCAGAGGGCTACTGGGTAATCCCTATCGAAGTGACCGAGACCCTGAGACCCTGAGACCCTGAGACCCGAGACCCAGCAATTCCACTGAGGGGTCGTTCCACCCGAATTCACATGGGTAAAAAGACATCTACACAAAGAGATCCTAGCATATCAGAGCAGCACTTTTTGAAATGATAAAAGCCTAGCAAGGGAATTGGCAAACTTTGTCTATAAGGTGTCCCATAGAAAATATTTTAGGATTTGCTGGCTGTAAGGTCCCCAGGGCCACTCTTGGTCTATTCGCCAACTTAGCAGGGAAGCAGCTAGAGACAGTCTCCCAGGACAGGTGTGCAGTGGTTGCCTAAGGGATCGGAAACCAGGGGGTCACGGTGGGAAGAGACTCCTTTGTTACACTGACTTTTATCTAAATGATTTTTAACCATATGTAAATATTACATATTTGCAAATAATTGTAATAATGGTATTCCAGTCAGATTAGCCAAAAAGAAGAGAAAGAAGAAAAAATCCAGACATCTCCCTTACCAGCTATGTTGAGACCTAGATTAGGAGTAGAATTGGAGCTAGCTACGGGCAGAAGGCCCTTCTTAAAACCATTCAGAAAGAACAAAACTATAGGGGCGCCTGTGTGGCTCAGTGGGTTAAGCCTAGGACTTCAGCTCAGGTCATGATCTTGGGGTTTGGAGTTTGAGCCCCACATTGGGCTCTGTGCTGACAGCTCTGAGCCTGGATCCTGCTTTGGATCTGTGTCTTATTCTCTGTACCTCCCCTGCACATGCTGTGTCTGTCTCTCTCTCAAAAAGAAACTTAGAATTTTTTTAAAAGAAATTAAAGACCCAGATAAGTGGAAAGTCATCCTTGTTCGTGGATTGGAAGACTTCTGTTGTTAAGATGGTAACGTACAAGTTCAACACAGTCCCTATCAAAATTTCAGCTGTCCTTTTTGCAGAAATCAAGCTGATCCTAAAATTACTATGGAAATGGATGGAACCTGGAAGAGCTAAAGCAATCTTGCATGGGGGGAAAAAGTTGGAAGACTCCTACTTCCCAATTCAAAACATACTACAGCACTACAGCCATCAAGACCGTGTGGTCCTGGCCCAAGGGCAGACATATAGATCAATGGAATAGAATGAAGAGTCCAAAAATGAACCCGTGTGTCTACGATCAATTGATTTTCAACAAAGGGGCCAAGACCATTCAGTGGGGAAAGAGCAATTTTTTCAGCAAATTATTCTAGAATAACTAGATAAGCACAAAAGCATAAAGGCAGACTCCCTGATCACACTTATCACAAAAACTAACTCAAAATAGATCAAAGACCTACATAGAAGGCCTAAAACTATAAAATTCTTGGAAGAGAACAGATAGCATTGCCTAATCCAAGCTCACAACAATTTCTGTCTTAGAACACACGAACAACCAAAGGAAAGAACAGATTAACTGAACTGCATCAAAATGTAAAATATTTATACTTCAAAGAACACAATCAAAAAGGTGAGACGATATCCCACAAAATGATACTTGTACATTGTGTGTATGACCAGGGTCTATGTCCAGAATATTAGAATACTCATAACTTGTGACACAACAACAAAGGACAACCCAGTTTTGAAACGGACAAAGAATTTGGATAGATATTTCTCCAAAGATATACAAGTAGCCAATAAGCACATAAAAAGATGATTAACATTATTAGTCATCAGGAAAATGGGAATCAAAAATAAAAACCTCATGAGCTACCCCTTACCACACCCACCAGGGTGGCTATAATCAAAAAAGATAATAACAAGTGTTAGTGAAGATTAGAGAAATTGGAACTTTTGTGTGTTACTGGTGGGATTATAAAGTGGTGCAGACACTGAAAAACAGTTTGGCAGTTTCTCAAGAGGTTAAACAGAACGTTATCATATGACCCAGAAATTCTACTCCTGGATATATCTCCAAGAAAACTGAAAACATGTTCATGCAGAAACTTGTACACAAACGTTCATAACAACATTAATAGACAATAACTGGGAAACCACCCAAATGTCCATCACGGATGGGGGATAAACCAAGTAGCATATACCCATCTATCCATACAATGCACTATTCTTGAGCCATAAAAATAAATGAAGGGGTGCCTGGGTCGCTCTGTGGGTTAAGCATCTGACTCCTCATTTCAGCTCAGGTCATAATCTCTCAGTCTGTGAGTTTGAGCCCCACATCGGGCTCCGTACTGAGAGCTCAGAGCCTGGAGCCTGTTTCAGATTCTGTGTCTCCCTCTCTCTCTCTGCCTCTCCCCCACGCACACTCTCTCTCTCTCTCTCTCTCAAAAGTAAATAAACATTAATTTTTTTTTTAAAATACAGATGACGACAATGCATTCCAGAGCAAATAAATCACAATCCCTGAGGAGTCTAGGAATGAGTATTTTTTAAACCTCCCCAGAGGAGGCTAGTATGAAGCTAATAAGAGAACCATTGGCTAGACTCACTGAGGAAACAGACAAAAGACCTAGGCCTTGGGACAAGGGGCTGACAGGGTTTTAACAGGTGGAAGGAAGGCTAGCGAGTGGAGGGGATTTTCTTGTATGATCTGACCCATGTAGAGTTCAGTGGGCTAGTAATAGTTCCTTGGTCTGAACAGTTTACTTACCCAATACTAGAGGATTCCAGTATTATTTGGTTGGATTTTCTATCCATAGTATCATATCATGATCATCTGACAGAGGGGGTCCACTTAAAAGTTTCAGACTTTTGTTCATATACAGGAGACCAGGTATACTTTTATATTTTAATCATGTCCCTACACAATCAGAGCATATACTCTGTCTTCCAGAAACATTTTTTAAAAATTTTTTATTATTGAGACAGAAATAGAGCATGAGTGGGGGAAGGGCAGAGAGAGAGGGAGACACAGAATGCGAAGCAGGCTCTGAGCTGTCAGCCTGACACAGGGGCTCAAAACCACGAACAGTGAGATCATGACCTGAGCTGAAGTCGGATGCTTAACTGTCTGAGCCACCCAGGCGCCCCTGTCTTCCAGAAACTTAACAGAAGTCAATTAAATTGACAAAACTCGAAGGCGATGGTGCCGTGGAGAAATAAAACTTACCCAGTCGATTCAGTCCTGAATCACAGTCTGACTATAGCATGACCTACAAAACTTGACCTTGTATTCTGCTTGGGGCAAATTCACGGCAAGGAAATTACCCAAGTAAAACGCAATGTACAAAGATTCACATGGTACCACTATTTACGGTTTTGAAACACTGGTAACAGTCCGAACTGCCCAGAGGTGAAGACCTAACCTGCCAGGACACAGCCCATGTGTCTGTAACCAGTGAAAGGGTGTGGAAGTTTGCACGCAGAAGGATGTGAGCTGAAATCACGGAATGCCAGTCTACAGCCTCCATACCCACCAAGTGCACACCTTGGGTGAAAAGTCCTTCCCACAGAGACGAGTGTCTATGTGAAGACAAAAATTGAAGGGGAGTTGAGTCATGAATGGGCCAAAAAAAAAACAAAACAGGTCCCATGATTGCACTTCCAGGAACCATCATACCCACACTCACGGACAGAACCCCAGGGTCGGGGGGGGTGGTATGGCTGGGGGGAGGGGAGCTGCCGTTCAGTGGGTGCAGAGTTTCCATTCTGCAAAATGGAAAAGTTCTGGAGATTCTGTTTCACTGCAGTGCAGATGAAACACCACTGAACCGTATACTTAAAGATGATCAAGATGGCAAATTTTATGTTTTTTTACCACAATAAAAAAGAACATTAATTTTTCTTTTGTTACAAATAGTTTATGGTCAAGTTGGTTTCCATAGAACATTAATTTTTAGAAAGAGAGAGGGGTGCCTGGGTGGCTCAGTCAGTTAAGCATCCGACTCTAGATTTTTGCTCTGATCACAATCTCCTGATTGGTGAGATCAAGCCCTGTATCAGGCTCTGCGCTGTAAGCCTGCATGGGATATTCTCTCTCTCTCTCTCTCTCTCTCTCTCCCCCTCTCCCACTCATGCTCTAAATAAATAATAAAAAATAAAGATTTTTGGCTTTTTTTAAATAAAGGATCTGAGAAAGGAACAGAACAGAGAGCCCAGAAATTGACCAACACAGTCCACTGAGTTTTGACAAAGGGCCATGCAACTGTGCAGAAAGGAGAGTCTTCACAACAGGTAGCTGGGACAACCAGAGGTCTGTGTGCCCAAAAATCAAATCAAAATCAAACTTGACACCTTGTACAAAGTTTAACTCAAAATGGACCATAGACCTAATGGTTAAACACATGAAACCATAAGGCTTCTGGAAGAAAACAGAAGAAAACTTGCATTGGCTTTGGTTCAGTGACGAGTTTTAAGTATGATACCAAAGTAGGGTCCATGAGAAAAGGATCAATATACAAAATGGATTTTATCAAAAGTAAACTGCTCTGTGAAAGACCCCGTTAAGAGAATTAAGAGACTGGTAGGAAATATTCGCAAATCCCTATCTAATAAAGAGCATGTATCCAGAATAAGTAAAGAAATCTTAAAACATGAAGTTCATGGGTGGCTCAGT